ATTAAAGGTGTGCACCACCACCACCCGGCAAGATTGGATACTTTAAGATAATAAATTTTTAAAGTGTTTGAACTTTCAAAGACTGTGGAATTTTGGAGTGTTTATATTATAATGTTGGTACTAATGTATGATCTTGGGAATGAACAAGAAAGGAAAGGTTATGGCTTAGCAGTGATGTGTCTGTGTCAAGTTGACAAGAGGTCAATTGTGCTGACTTTATTTTTTCCAACTTGGCACAGGCTTGAGTCATTTGAGACGGAACATCAGTTGAGAAAATGCCTCCACAAGATCAGGCTGTAGGCAGGCCTGTGGGGCAATTTCTTAGTGATTGTTGAGGAAGGACCTAGCCCAACATAGGTGGTGCCACCCCTGGGCTTGTGACCCTGAATTCTATAAGCAGGCTTAGCAAGTCATCAGAACCACTCCCACCTCTACCCCATGGCCTATCAGCTCCTGCCTCCAGGTTCCACCTGGGTTTTGCATTCCTGCCTTAGCTTCCCTCAATGGACTGTGAGTTGAGATACTTACGACAAATGAACCCTATCTTCCCCGAGTTGCTTTTTGTCATGGTGTTTAATCACAGCAATAGCAACCGTAAATAAGACATGGAGTAAGAAAGTACTTTTTTTTTCATTTTACAGGAGCCCACATTTAAGAAACCAGCATTTTATGCAAGTTTAGGAATTTTTGGAGAAACTTTGGATATTTTAGAGAAACTTGAAAAGACTGTGTATGTTTTAGAGAGACTGAATTTTGGGGTGTTTGAATTTTTAAGAAATGTGGAACTTTTAAGCGAGGCGGTGGTGGCACACGTGCCTTTAATCCCAGCACATGGAAGGCAGAGGCAGGCAGATCTCTGTGAGTTTGAGACGAGCCTGCAGAGGGAGCTCCAGGACAGCCAAGGCTACAACAGCAAATCCCTGTCTTCAAAAACAAAAACAAAAAAAAATGTGAAACCTTTAAAGTTGTTTTGTATTGTAAAATTAATATATCTTGATGAACAAATGTCAAAAGATTATGGTTTAACAGCAATGTGTTTGTATGCCAAGTTAACAAGGAGTCAGGTGTGCTAGATACCTTTATGCCAACCTGACACAAGCTAATCATCTGAAAAGAGAAAACTCAAAGTGGGAAAACACCCCCCACCAAATTGGCCACTGGCCAGAAAGCCTGTGGTGCATTCTCTTAATTAGTGACCCATGTGGGAAAGACCAGCCAATCTGACCGCAGTTCATGCTCCCTCTGGGCAGGTGCTCCTGGGGTCTGTAAGAAAGCTGAGCAAGCCAGCAAGCAGCACTCCTCCATGGCCTCTGCATCCATTCCTGCCCTGACTTCCCTGGATGACAGACTACAAACTGCAAGATTAAGTAAACGCTTTTCCATCGAATTGCTATTTGCTATGATGGAACCTTCTTGTTCTTTGCTGCAGCTTCAGGTAATGAAACACGATCCACCAAACTCAACAAACCCACATGGAGTTTATTGGGAAAGGGAGCAAGGGGAGGGGAGCAAGAAAGGGAAAGAAGAAGAAAGAACAGGCAGGAAGTGCTTGCTTATGCGAGTCTCAGCAGTTGGGGCCATTGAACTGGAGTCAGGGAACTGCCATTGGCCCGGCTCTGAGCAGTTCCAGTTCCACATGGTTTTTGCAAGCAGAGTCTTTATGCAGCCACCTAACACATGCACAATGCAGCAGCCATGCAACCTTTGATAGATGTCAGTGAGGATCCCAGGGTGGGAAGCAAGCCCTGTGACCAGGAAAGGATCCCTAAGGAGAAGGCCCAGGCCCAGGAAAGGGCTGGAAGGAACAGAGCCAGACTACCCAGACCCAGGGAGAGGGAGAAGCCAGGATATCAACACTCTGTCACAGCCTTTTCTCCCCAAATTTTAGTCATCTAAATTCAGTGCTCATGGTCCATGGCTAAGTAAATATTAGATGATTCTGGAGAGTCCAACAAACAGTACCCACTTAATTAGAAGGTTCTCAGTCAATAATCCTGAGTGACTATTTACTTAGGATATGTGGCAGTGTCTAGAGACCTTGTTATAGCTAGATGGACAGTGAATAACAGGGGTATTCTACTCATATTTCATGGTTAGAAATCCTGACACTGCCAAGGTTGAGAACTCAGAAGAGGATAAACGTGTAAACAGAGGAATTATATCATTTCCATTACTGTTCAACAGTAGATCAGAAGAGATGAGTACACGGCTTAGTGAAGAGTGCTTTCCACACATGTACAAGACAATGGGTTTGATTCTCAACTGAGAAAAAAACAGACTAGAAGAACTAGTAGGCAAGTAGACTCTCATTCATACAGCCACATGGGTAACTATGCCTCCTCCTATAAAACTTACAGCATATTGAAGTTAGAACATGTGCTCCCTGCAGGGTATTCATTCCATCAAAGGACAAAAAAACGGAGTTGGCAATGACATTGCTCTAGTATTGAAAATAAAAAGGCGGGAAAAATCAGCAAGCAAGCAAACCATAGTCAAACTGGAATTATGCAATACAGTTCATATTTATACCGTGTAATTCAAACAAATAAGTAACTTATTATAGAAATTTAAAAATCATTTTCAGCCGGGCTTTGGCGGCGCACGCCTTTAATCCCAGCACTTGGGAGGCAGAGGCAGGCAGATCTCTGTGAATTGGAGGCCAGCCTGGTACAGAGCGAGTTCCTGGACAGCCTCCAAAGGCACAGAGAAACCAAAAAAAAAAATCATTTTCAAAAACAGAATCACTACAATTCCTGATAAGTTCAAGATTTAAAGAAACACTGAAAACATAAGACCCTAACAGAGTGAGTGAGTGTGTGTGTGTGTTTCCCCCAAAGCAAAGGACTTTCTGCTCAATTTGGACTAGATGAAAATAAGATCTAGGTCAATATAGATAAAAATACATTATATCAAAAATACCAGTAAAAGACAAACTATAGGCTGGGGATGTTATTTGCAAAATATGGTTCATCTTAATATTCAATCTGAAGGGAATTAGAATCTCCATAAAAACAAACCTCTGGGCATGTTTGTAAGGGATTTTTATAGATAAAGTTGAGGTGGGAAGATCATCCCACGGGCTGAGCTCCCAGACTGAAAAGGAGAAAGAGAGCTGAGTAGCAGCATCACATGCTCTTTGCTTCCTGACTGAATGCGGTGTGAGCAGCTACCTCCTCACGTCTTGCTGCCTTCCTTCCCATGATGACTTTCTAACCCTGGAACTGTAAGGCAAAGCAAATCCTCCTCTCCTTAAGATGTCTGCTGTTTGTTGAAGCAGTGGGAAGAGCAACTAACATAAATAACCTCACAAAAGTTTTGGAAGCTATTTTTGTACTCATTTTTAAAGACAAATAGGTAAAGGCTTTATATAAATTTGGTGTGGCAGAACATGACTGTAATCCTAGTGCTGGAAAGACTGAGGCAGTATTGCAAGATCAAGGTCAGCCTAGAAGGTATGCAAGACCCTGTGTCCAAAAAGTGTTGGTGTGAGGCCTTAAATAATTCATTAAATACAAGTAAGTTCAAAGTAAGTTCTTTTAAGTTTTTAAACTAGGTTTTGCTTATCATAGTTGAAGAAAACAACGTAACATTCAAATGCTGATAAGCGTGTAAAAGGTATTGAAAAACTGGAAAAGTAGTGTGATACAAGCTTTCTATTGGCAATATGATAAACATGTACTCTATGAACTTACTCTAGGAAAAACAAAAATTATAAAGATTTAGCTAAAATTACTGTGGCTAATAAGCATAGGCTAAATAATTTATTGTAAAAACATTTAATACAATTTTATACACATTGTTGAAATATTTGACACAGAAAACACTCATCATTAAGTCTTCTTTTATGTACTTGTATGGAACCTAAACATTTAGCATAAGCAAGTTTTTGTTAAAATGTACACACTCAAAAAATCCTTGAGAGGAGTAGGTGAGATCGATCAATAGGCACAGGCACTGCTACCCAGCCTGATGACCTGCGTTCAATATGGAGGACTCATGATAAGGGAGAAAACTGACTCCTGCAAGCTGTCCTCTGGCCTCCACACGCGCTCCACGGCACTTGCACACCTGGGGGGAGGGCAGTCTAAGAAAAGATGAAGCTAGAAAGACCGCTCAGCAGTTAAGAACACTTGTTGCTCTTGCAAATGACCCCAGTTCATTCCCAGCATCCACAGAAGGGTCACGATCCCTTGTAACTCCATTCCCAGGGGACCCAACACCACCTTCCGGCTTTCACGGTGCAAAGGAAGTAAGCGGTACACAGACATACATGCAGGCAAAACACTCACACAAATTTTAAAAAAAAGTTTTCAAGTCTAGGAAAGTATAAAACGTGATTGCTGCTTTGCTTACCTGCACTTCTACAATGTACATACAGTACATATGTTTTATTCCAATAGAAATTAGTTAAAAGCTGAATTCAATGTGGAAAGCTTCACTGCAAAGTATCAGAGTCTGAACTGAATTTTCTTAAGGGATCATTAAGGTTTTTTTAAAATGGTATATTCAAAATCAAAGCTGTTTGTTTCGAAATAAATGCTGTTTAAGAATTAAGTTTAGGAGCAGGAGAGACAGTTCAACGGTTAAGAGCATGTGTTCTTCTTGCTGAGAACCCAGGTTCGATCCCAGACCCACATGGCAGGTGACAATCCACCATAACTTTGTGCCAGGGGATCCAATACCCTCATCTGACCTCTGCAGACATGGCACATGAAGTCAAGCTACATGAGAGGAAGTTATCCATACACATAGAATACAAATAAATAAAATCCTTTTTAAAAAACAAGAGTTAAGTTCACTTTTAGCAAAGAGGCCAGGAAGACCAACCATTGTTGAACATTGTCTCAGATAGGCCTATCCCATCCTCAAGCCTCTGAATAAAATGGCTTGCCCTCACCCCAAACCAAATAAACAAGGAAGAAAATAAACAGAAATCAATATGAAACCAAAATAACTATATTTGTTTCACTAGACCTTTCAACATAATAAATAAATCACCATTAACCAAAAACATCTTTATTTTAAGCCTTTAAAAAAAACAAAACAAAACTCTTCCTTTCCCAACATAACCATGATTAGCTTAGAAAAATGGGTATATATTTCCAAAGTATTTCCTTTTAACGGAAACTTCATTTTATAGAATCTAAACATCAAAGGTTTTTTAAAAAGCCAGAATCTAGCATAAGTCAAGGTGATCCATTCATACTTCAGGCCCTTCTCCTCCAGGAACCAGCTGCATTAGAGAAAAAGAGTTTATTAATAACGCTACCATGCCACCTAATCCCCCATGTGCTCCTCATGAACCAAAGCCACCTTTGTCTCTCCCCCATCCTTCACTTCCCATTTCCTCCAGGCCATCAACATCTGTTAGCAACCCCAACATCATTAACTGATGTTTAAGAGTTTCAACAATGACTCCTGATGAACTAAAGGTAATAGAGATTAATAAGCAAATGACTCTTAAGGCCCAATGCTCTTTCAATAGCTGTGTTGGGGCACTGCTCACAGAAGGCTCCCTCAGCATGTCTAGGCCGTGAACACTGAGCTAAGCAGCAGGTTAGTCAGTTCTGTAATCCCTGCCCCACAGAAGTAATTAAATTCAAAATAAAACAGCGCTAATGTCTTACCATCGTTATATTATTCCCATTTAGTAAAATCTGATCTAATTTTGTAATCCTTCTTCCTTCTGGTGTAATTTCACTAAATAGATAAAAAAAATGGAGTCAGCATAAACAAGTATTCAAAGGCAATATTTTGGAAACACTTTTCCTCTCTAAAAATTGTTCCTGGGGTAAAGAGGTTAACTTGGTGGCAGAGCACAAGGCCCTGGGTTCAACCCCTAACATCAAAACCGTTATTATTACGTATGAATGAATGTGAACTCATACAATTACAATCGTTCTGTTATCCTTACATATGAATGAATGTAAACTCATACAATTACAAGAATTTTCAGAAATAGAGTCGGCCCACCAGATAAGGCATGTAAATATAAAGCTTCTATAAATATAGAAGTAAATATAAAGATATATTATAAAGATATAATATAGAAGTAAATATACAGTCACTATAAAGCTTGTTTACACTAATTTCTTAGAAATTCAGGAATAACAACATTAAGACAATAACCCTCTGGCCCAGCCTCACAAATACCAGTAAATAAGGTTTCAGTATTAAAACAATTCCAACAGGTAATACTTTTTTATCAGTCATACCAATCCTGCTATGGTAGTTTAAATGAAAATGGCCTCCGCGGGCTCATGTTTGAAAAACTTGGTCCTCGGTTGGTAGAACTGTTTGGGAATGGGTAGAGGGATGGCCTTGTCGGAGGTGCGTCACTGGGGGTGGGCTTGGCGGTTTCAAAAGAATAAATTATACCAGTTAGCTCTCTTGTCTCATGGTTATCTCAACATAAAATGGCTTAGCTATTACCCCAGATCCACACCTGCCTGCTGCCACACTCCTCACCAAGAAAAGCATGGACTCTCACCCTCTGAAACTGTAAGCAAGCCCACAGTAAACACTTTCTTTTATAAACGGCCTTGGCCATGCTGTCTCTTCACAGTAACAGAAAAGTAACTAAGGCACCTGCCTTTAATTCAAAAAGGTATTTCCTCCCCCTCCCCCCCCAATTATTTGTCATTTTTAATACTACTCACAACTCGGTGACATCTTCCAACACCATATCTGAAATTTGTTGTTAAGAAAATAAACAAGGCTGAACTTAGTCTGTTTTTGTTTGGTTGCAAATATGTTCAACGCAATGGTGCAAATTCAAAAGGTTTGTTGTTGGAGAGAACCCTATCTGCTCTCTGCAAGCACCTCTTAAAATGTTACCAAGCTCCTGGAAAATAAATTATTTTTAATGTAATAACCAGAACTATGTCATCTGTCTACGACTCTTATACTCATACATCTTTAAAAACCTGTTCCATTACCACGTCTTAAAAGGATACTGACAAAGTCGTCAAATCCTAGAAGTGTACCAACTATCTCTTTGTCACTCTTCATCACAATGTGAATCCTTGATCCTATACACTTGTCCACAAGCTCTGTGGAAGGAAAAAGACTGTTTTACCCACTTATTAGTTCAACAACCATTTGAGCGCTTACTTTATTATTTCCGTATCATTAAAGATGAACAAAAAGCAGTCACTAAATAATGTTTGCTTGGCCTTTACTTACCTTTTCTTTTCTGCAATTAACATGACTGTGATTTTATTTAGGTTATTTGGTTAACATATGAAAACGCTTACACCGAAAGGTGGAAATCATGATAGTTTTTCCTCATCGGTGTTTGTACCGATGAACAGTATCTAACATATCCTGGAGTGGACACTGCAAAAAAAAACTTCCACCACAGCCACATTCACTAACGTCACCAGCGCCAAAACATTACGCAGGAGAGGCATTCTTATCCACACCAGCTTCCTATCACTTCTTCTCACCCTGCCTTTGGCTAGGAGACCAACCTGAGCATCTCTGGAGCCGACCGAGAACCGCTCGGCGCGATGTTTTGCGGTGTGCTAACTGAACGCCATGCGGCTGTCATTTAAATCCATTATTCAGCAGCACCCCGGCACAGTGAGGGAACTGCTTGCTGAATTAGTGAACGAGGGGGGGAAGGGCTAACCTCCAGATTTCAAGATTCACCGTAGACCGTGGCGCCCTCCTCACCCAACCAGATACAACACAGGGTCCATCCACCGAATCTGTAGACCGGACATCTTAAGGCGAGCTCATAAAGAAGGCCGAGGCCCCTCGCCGGCCACCGACAGATGACACGGTCTGCCTTCGCTGCTGCGACGCCGAGGGCGGGGCGGCCCGGAGGGGCAAGCCTCCGCCGCGGGCGTGGGACTGCAGCAACCCGCCCGCCCCCCCCAGGCAAGACTCTGACCTAGTGGCAGGAGCTGAGACGGGTTCGTGGTCGCGTTAGCCGCCATGGCCACGCCGGAAGTGGCACAAGGCTACCGGCGCAGACTTTAAAAGAGCGCGCTTCCGCCCGTGTCCGCAGCTGGCTCAGACCAAACTAATCGGAGGCCGATCTGGCGATCGGGCGTCTCCAAACGGATCTCCGACAGATTCGATAGACTAGTTCGGACCTATACCGGTGCCACCATCCCGTGACCCCGAAGTTCTGCTACACTTGATAGTTTGCCTCCTCGGTGCCTGAAGACTACCACATACGAGACCTCTGAGTCAGCTAGTTTTCCTCTAAAAGGTTGCGTCTCGTGCCGAGCTCTTTCTTCAGAGCCATAAAATCAATTAGGATTTCCTATCACCAACTCGTTCTGCGTTCGTCTCAGCAACTACTCATTTTCTTAACGAATCTAGTACTTTTAAGCCTAGAGTACTGAAAACCCATTCGAAACTTTTAAAAGTATACCAGGTATTGACAAGGGTTTTTTTTTTTACTACTTTATTAATTTCTTCTTGTCCTTTCTAGAAGTCTAGTTTATTACAGGCTTTTATAGTTACTAACAGTTATTGATTTACAGGCAGCCGCTAGATGTCACTCCGTATGTTAATGTCATCACCTTTGGAAAACGTGCTATCACACGTCTGTTTTGGAAAAAGATAAAAAGCCGCTGTGTGGAGGGGCCAGCAATCCCAGCGCTTAAGAGACAGGAGGAGGCCACAGTTGTCAAACACGGACAACTTAGTAAGACCCTGACACAAAATAGGAAATAAAAACTAGCGAGAGCTTGACCATCGTGCTTAGCACTAGAGTGCTTTCCTAGCATTCATGAGACCCTGGGTTGGCCCTACTTCAAAAAACAAACAAAAAAGCAGATGAATTCTTTACCTTCGTTTGTCTCATTTGTGTCTGAGGGGCTTAAACAATCTAATTGGGAGAAATCATAATCAACAACATTCATTGGTAAGCCACCCTTCATTCCTTCATTGAGCAAACCAAAGTCTATAGAATACTGTTTGGTTAGCAGCTTGCTGGGTATATAAAGCAAAGTAGATAAAGTCTTCTACGAGAGTGAGTGGGAAGAAGGACAAATACATTGTATGTACATAGCACCATGAAACTGAATATACAGAGCAATGCCTCTAGGAGCCTTGGAAACTCCACTCCATTCTCATTTCAAGGCAGTGGTGGCCTTTCCCCACAACCCCCATTCCATAAATCATGTGTACCTACTAGGTGCCAGGACAACTACAAATACACTCTTTTTGTGGTTTTTCAAGACAATGTTTCTCTATGCAACAGCCCTAGTTGTCCTGGAACTCACTTTGTAGACCAGGCTGGCCTCGAACTCACAAAGATCCACCGACCTCTGCCTCCCAACTGCACACATACACTGTTTACTGCCATCCTTTGAGGCAAGAATCATGATTAAGTTCCTTGTGCTTAAAGAAGTTGAGTAACTGTCCCATGGCCAGACATATCAGCTAGGAAAGCTTCACAGAGGAATTGACAAGAGTCCTGCATGGTGATTAAAGTGTGGATAAACAGACAAAGGTAGCATTCCAAGTGAAGAGGACATGGTGTGCAGTTGGTATGTGTCACTTCCAAACTCCTATTATTTTTTTTAGTTTGAAATGTGTATTTATTAGCATCCATGAAATAACATATAGAAAAATAATCTATAAAAACACTAAATATTGTATGACATAATAGTACATGCCTTTAATACCAGCACTTGGGAGGCAGAGGGAGGTAGGTCTCTGAGTTGAGCCTAACCTGGTCTGCAAAGCATGTTCTTTCTATCTTTCTCTTTGTTTACTTTTTTCTCTTCCTTTTTTAATTTAAGTTAGAAACACCAAACTCCTATTATTGATCTTGTCTTTAAATCACATTTCTCTCCCATTTAGCATACAACACTTGCCTTCTCAAATGTATTTCCTTAACAACCCTAGTCTTCAGCAATTTTTCTTATTTAACTTTATGATATTCCTCCATGTCCTAGCAAAGATGTTGCTCGTGTTCCAAGACCGTTGTTCTCAGAGATGATCTCCTAGTCTGTGTTCCATGAGTCTACTGGAATCTATCACTGGCTGGCAGCAGTGTTAATAGTTGACAGAATTATTTGGGTGTGATTTTTATATAATTATTCAACAAAGCTACCTCCCTTTAAAAGACTGAGTTTCTTAAGACTATGTTGGGAGATAGTATTGTCATTAAATTCATCAGTTCTGAATTTAGTGACTTTTATTCAAATTCAACCTTTAAAAAATGTTTTAAAGCCGAGTGTTGATAGCACACACCTTTAATCCCAGCACTCAAGAGGCTGAGGCAGAAGGATTTCTTCGTGTCTGAGGCCAGCCTGGTGTACACAGCAAGTTCCAGGACAGGCTCCAAAGCAATACAGAGAAAGCCTGTCTCGAAAAGTAAAAAAAAAAAAAAAAAAAAAAAAAGCTTTTAAAATGCTTTTAAGATTACATTTGTATTAACCATGTGAGTGAACGTGTGCATGTGTGTATGTGTGTGTGTGTGTGTGTTTGTGTAATATATTCTTTCCTTTTTTTTTTTTTTTTTGGTTTTTCGAGACAGGGTTTCTCTGTGGCTTTGGAGGCTGTCCTGGAACTCGCTTGGTAGTCCAGGCTGGTCTCAAACTCACAGAGATCCACCTGCCTCTGCCTCCCGAGTGCTGGGATTAAAAGCGTGCGCCACCACCGCCCGGCTATTCTTTCCTTTTGCCTGTGGGTTCTGGAGCTCAAACGCAGTCAACAAGCACCTTTACCTGCTAAGCCGCCTCATTAGCCCACCACAATTTCTAATTATCTGACTTATGGGTGTATTGTTTAAAATGTCAGTTTACCTATTAGAAACAGTGGCAGATACAATATTATTGTATTTGTTTGGTTTGCATGTATGTCTCTCTTAGTCACTGTTCTACGGCTATGAAGAGACACCATGACCAACACTTTTAAAAGAAAGCATGTAATGGGGAACTTGCTTACAGTTTCAGAGGTTTAGTTCATCTTTACCCTGATGGGGAGCATGGCAGCGTGAATGGCACTGGACCAGTAGCACCCTTATCTGCAGGCCAAGAGAAAGCGACCCCCCAGTGACAGTCTTCCTCCAAGGCCAAACCTACAGCAACAAAGTCACACCTCCTAATCCTTGTAATCCTTTCAAACAGTTCCACTCCCTGGTAACTAAACATTCAAATATATGAGCCTATTCCATCCATTCTTATTCAAACCCCTTCGATGTCTGTGTACTACACGTGTGCCTGGTGTCCGTGGAGGCCAGAGAAGACATCAGATCCCCTGGGACTTAAGTTACAGTCAGTTGTGAATCACCACATGGATGCTGGGAATCAAACCCAGGCCTTCTGGAAGAGGTGTCAGTGCTCTTAACCATGGAACTATCTCTCTCACCCACTGAAAAGATTATTTTAATGATTGAATAACCTATGAAAATTTGTTAGGACAAGATCTAGTGCATAGCAAACTGCATTATATTGGATGTATTGTTACTCTTTGATCTTTGTTTCCTAATGCTAACATGGCTATTTGGCTTACGATAGGGACTCTATACACAGAGAACATTATTGCTTACAACTTTATTTGGGGGCTGGTGAGACGGCTCAATGGGCAAAGGTGCATTTGCTAAGCTGGATAACCTAAGTTCAACCCCTGGAGCTCACTAGGTAGAAGTGAACCAACTCCCAAAAGCTTCAACCTATGCATCCCCCACACAAAATCAATGTAAAAGGAAGATTGTTTTATAACTATAAACCACATGAAGGCAACAGTTTATCTTGATCGGTGCACTAAAGTCACCACATCGCTAGATTTGGTCTAATCAATGTTCTTTGAATTTATTCTATATCACTTATGCCCCTTGACACAGTCCTTAATCTCTGTAAGGTTCTAAATACAGAGTAAGGCCTAATTCACTTATGAAGCCTCTTCCTTTTCTGGATTTTCTTTTCTATCTTTATCCCTGTTTTATTTTCATCAGAAAAAGAATGACACGGACAATACAGACAATCCTTGAAGTGTCCCATGATATGAACAAACTGATCACCAGCAACATTCTTTTTGCAATGCTGGGGAATGAAACCAGGGACGCAGGCACATTGGGAAAGTCCTCTACCAGTGAGACCACTGAGCTATAGTCTCCTAACGTGTGTGTGTGTGTGTGTGTGTGTGTGTGAGTGTGTGTGTGTGTGTTACTCTGTTTCGTTTTGAGACTGCCTGAGATACAAAGTGAGTTCAAGGCCAGCCTGAGTAGCTTAGTTACAGGAACATGTAAATACACACATCATTTTAAGGGAGGTGCCATTCTAAACTGTTTTCACATGAACCAGTTTGCAGTCTTGTGTCTCTTGCTTCTTTGGTGTTCTGTATCTTCTCAAACCCTGAGCTGAAACAAATCCTTTAAGTCACTTTCTATCAATCATTTGGTCAGATAGTAACTACAAAATGCCTTTAAATGATATATTCTTAAAACATTTAAACATAATAGTTAGAAACGGATGATTTAATCTCACATGACTGCTCTAGGATATGAAGTGGCACATATTTCTAAAGGTATAACTGTGTTGCCTGAACAGTGAGTTAAATATTGATGTTTACTGGAGACAGAAATCTATCCACACATTCAAACAAAGGTGTGAAATTAGACTTAATTTTAGCTATGCCAACTGTGGAAAATATTAACACAGTTTACATCAAGAAAATAGTAAAAGTTAGGGGCTGGAGAGATGGTTGACAACTCTTCCAGGGGACCAGGGTTCAATTCCCAGCACCTACATGCCAGCTCACAACTGTCTATAACTCCAAACCTACACCCTCACACAGACATTCATGTAGGCAAAACACCAATACATATAAAATAAAAATAAATTACTTTTTAAAAAAGAAAGAAAATAGTAAAATTCAACTAGTTAACATAAAAGAGTAACATTTAAGAAATGTTAATCTACTCTGTATACTGGAAATACTATATTTTTCATGAAGCCATGAACACTGTCAAGAATTTTGTAATATAAAAAGGATATGGATAGCAATATATTGAAAAATGTAGAGTTTTTTTTAACAGAATCTAAACAATTTACTTTTTGAAATTGTAGTTCAGGCCGCAAAGGATTTGAAAACCCTTGGAAAAACAGACCTATTTTGTGCTAGTTATTGTAAACCCCAGAAGATGCAATGAAAATTGTACATTGATTTTATATATATATATATATGTATATATGCATGTATATACATATATATTCCAGTACTATGACATATATAGCCAGGTAAATATATATATATAATATATATATTGAGATAATCATTTCACAGGTAAAATGTAAATCTTTACTGTCAAAGATATTATAATTCAAGGTTTAAATTGCTTCCAAACTTACATATGTTTTATGTATTTATTTTTGCAGGTCTGAGAAGGATTCCTGTTTGCCTAGACTGACCTTAAACTCTCCGTTGGAAAAAAATGTGTCTTTTCTTTCAAACAGGTGTAATAACCACGCGTCTTCTTTGTCTACTCTCCGGCCCCAGGTCCTTTAGCCATGTGTTCTTGTTTTAAACCCTGCTTACTCTGCACTCTGCCTTCGTTCTTTCCTGGCCACTTTCTGAGTTAGTTGATCAGGAATAGATGTGAGAGTGAACCTCAGCTAAGGAGGAAAACTAAGGCTCGCCACCCAAACCACTACCACCTCTACCACCTAGCCATAGGGAAGGAAGGCTGAATCTTGACCAGGAGTGCTTATTCCTATGATTTTCTGACTTACTCTCCCCTAGTCTGAAATTATTGTTAATTGTTGTTGTTGTTGTTTCACAAGACATGGTTTCTCTGTGTGACCCTGGCTGTCCTAGAACTTGCTCTGTGCTTTATAGACCCCACTGGCCTCAAACTCAGAAATCTGCCTGGCTCTCTGCCTTTGGAGTACTGGGATTAAAGGCGTGCGCCACCAAGCCTAGCCTGATTTGAAGTTATAAAGTTTTGTTGGGTCACTATAATTGGAGTCGTGATCTTTTACCTTGTGAGCACATTTCTAATACTATGTAGCCCTAGCTAGCTTGAAACTTGCAATCCTATCTCAGCCCCTCAAGTTCTGGCATTACATGCATTTAGCCACTACATGGGATTGCACATAAAGATTAAATGGAGAAAAAAAAAAGCTCTAGAATGAAACCAAAGAAAAATTTGAGTAAGCAAGTAACTTAATTTAGACGTTGAATGCACGAGATACCGAACCTCATAAATATGCCTCCTTGTTAAACATTTAGAACGCAAGGCTGAGTGAGAGATTCCACAAAAGATTTAAAGAGTGAAGAGAAAACACGTTTATGAAGAAGTAAAGCTGAGGGAGTAGGAAGGAGATTTCAAGAAGGATAAATAGATTTTAGAAGGAACTGATTTGACAACGTAGGGAGGAACAGGTGCAACCCGCGACTACCCTCAACCCCTACTGTAAAGGGTCCCTGGGGGTCAGAATCCATCCCGCCCCGCCCCGCCCCGCCCCGCCCCGCCCCGCCCCGCCCCGCCCCGCCGGTTCTGTAGGACGCGCCTTCATCCGGGAGGCCCCGCCCCTTCTACCATACAGCCACGCCCCTCCCCAAGCTCCTTTCCCTCTAGTCCCGCCCTCTATCCGGGCTCCGCCCATGCCGCCTCAGACCCCGCCCAGACTGGGGCGTCCGGGTCCCCGCCCCACGCCGCCGGAGGCGGCGGTAGCGTCAGGTGACAGCCCGGAAGCTGCGGAAGCGGATGAAGCAGAGCCGTGGAGGCCCCGTGGGGCTTCGCGCAGGTGGGGAAGCTGTTTGGCGTCCCTCGAGCCCTTGGCGCCGCGCACATGTGGCGCTCGGGCTGATATCTGAAGGCCGCCGCTCTGGATCGTGTGGCCCGACCTCGGCGGTTGGAGTCGCGGTGCGGGCCTGCGGCGGACGCCCATGGAGAAGGCTGGGCGTGAGGGTGACGGCGCCCCCTGCGGGCCTGTCCTGCACATCGTGGTGGTCGGCTTTCACCACAAGAAGGGCTGCCAGGTGAGGACCGGCCCGCGCCAACCCGGCGCCCCGCGGCCTGGCGCGCCCTGCTCCCCCGAGAATTGCATGACGAGCGGCGAGGGGTTCCGGGTTAGAGGGAGAAGGACGGCCGCGCCTTCGGTTATCTGTCCGTCCTCACTGACAGCTGCTGGAAGTCTTGAGGACAAACTCAGCGTTTGGACGCCCCGGAGGTGGTGAGCTGTGGCTTTCCACACGAATGTGCAAAGCAGGCTGACGCGCATGTAGACGCCGCGCAGGAGAATCAGCTTCCTTTGTTTATCTCTTGCGAGCCTGGAGTCGATAGTTTAGGGTTGGCGATCGGCCCCGCCCCCTTCTCTTGTGCCATTTAAGATTTGCTCCTGTCCAGAGCTTTTCTTTTGGTTAGGGTGACACTCCAAATCCATTACAGTAAATGAAAATGTAATTTACCAACCGGTTAGTGCAAATGGACATGTATTAACTTCTTAGCTGGCTCTTCCACCCACCGTGTGAAAAGAGCGTTTGCTTTGTGTTCAAGGCAGAGGAGCAAAATAGAACAGGGTTGTTGAGTGCGAACAAACACTGGAAGGCAGTGATGTCATAATGTGCTAGTAGAGGTGGATTGACTACTTAAGATACTGGGGAAGAAAACGGTTACTAATAGACAACGACGCATTTGGTTTCTTTCCTTTGACAGAGAATGTAACATTAAAATACTGACAAAAGCTTAGTTCATTAGAAGATAACGACAGTGAAGGGAGCGAAGAGGTGATGAGTGTGTGTGTGTGTGTGTGTGTGTGTGTGTGTGTGTGTGTAGACTGTTAACTTCAAGCAAGTGGGAGGCCGAGGTAGGAGGATTATCTTAAGTTGGACACAATACTTAGACCCTGTATCAAAAAAAGAGACTATTAACTTTAAGATATTGTATTTCTTTTTTTTTCCTTTTTTATTCTTTTGGTTTTTACGAGGCAGGGTTTCTCTGTATTGTTTTGGAGGCTGTCGGTCCAGCCCGGCCTCGAACTCACAGAGATCCGCCTGCCTCTGCCTTCCGAGTGCTGGGATTAAAGGCGTGTGCCACCGGGGCCCGGCTAAGATACTGTATTTCTTTATCCTCAAGGATAAAGAAAAGCAAGAACACCTAAGAGAAAGTAGCATTATTGTGTGTGATACTAAGATTATTTAGTACTTCAGGCCTACAACTGTTGGACTAGTTGCTTTATAAGATAGGAGTAAAGTGACAAAACTTGACAAAGGTCTTACTGGAAAAAAATTGCTGAGATCATACTAGAACACAGCCTTGGACAGGCAGATCTCCATGAGTTTAAGGCCAGCTTGGTCTACAAGTTGCAGGGACAGCTAGGAGTGTTAACACAGAGAAACCATGTCTTGAAAAATAAACAAACAAAAACAGAAACCAAAACAAAAAATCGCCGGGCAGTGGTGGCGCACGCCTTTAATCCCAGCACTCAGGAGGCAGAGGCAGGCAGATCTCTGTGAGTTCGAGGCCGGGCTGGACCGACAGCCTCCAAAACAATACAGAGAAACCCTGTCTCGTAAAAACCAAAACAAACAAACAAAAAATCAGCCCTGGAGTCAGAAGTGGAAACCTTGCTTTCTGTGCCGTGTGTGTGTGTGTGTGTGTGTGTGTGTGTGTGTGTGTGTGTGTGTGTGTGTGTGTGTGTGTCAGTGTGGACTTTCTGGGTAAAAACCTTGTATAAGCTCACTACACTGAATGGAGCTCTGAAAAGAAAGAGGAAAACATCGGCACTTTAGGAGATAGGATGAGTCTCCTAATTCTTGCTGTCCCTTGAAAGTCTAGATTTTATTATGTTTTTTGCCTGTCTTACTGACTTTATTGGTAATATGTATTTCTGTAAAGGAAACCAAATGTAGTACTGCATAAAAATTAAAGAACAGAAAAGGAAAGATATAATAGCCCCCTGCATGCTGTGTCATTTCCTTGCTTTTGGGTTTTGGTTTCAGCACACAGATAAAACTGACTGCTTTTGTAAAGTGAGTTCTGTGCAGAAGTCAGATGACCAGTATAACACTACTCAAGACCAGCAAATACAAATGGTTTCCTAATTTGCCCTTCTCTATTTCTTTTGCTAGATAATTTTTAATAATTGCAATGAAGCAGAAAAATCCTAGTTGAGTTTTCCCCCAATTTGATGCTCAAAGTAGCTTGATTTATTACTCTCCTTTGTAAAGGTACACCTACCCTGGGATATTATAGAAACAAAGCACTAAGACCCTAATCCTGGGCTGGGAGAATGTAACTCAGTAGAAGAGTGCTTGCCTAGTGAACACAAGGTTTTGGGTTGAGGATGGATCTCTGTGAGTTCAAGGCCAGCCTGGTCTACAGAGTGAGAGCCAGGACAACTGGGGCAACATTATAGAGAGATCCTATCTTAAAACAAAACAAAACAAACAGAAATATTTATTTCTCAGCATACCCTGCTCCTGGTTTAATGTCACACACGAATAATTATTTATATAATTCTACATCTCCTGTTCCTCTTCTAATTCATCTTGTGTCCCTCCTCCTCAAATTCATGTTTCATCTTTGTTACTGTTATGCATGTGCAAGCCTGTGTCCGTGAGAGCTTGTGCTCACACACACACACACACACACACACACACACACACACACACACACAAATTTAACCTGCTGAGTTCATTTGCTGTTGGTTGTATATGTGTTTAGGGTTGACAACTTTGAATAGATATTTAGAGACTTGGCCCTGGAGAAGACTGAGTCTCCATCTCTCAGCTCCATTAATTGCCCATAGTTCTTCATCAAGGGGTAGGACCTTGTGAGATATCCCCCATCTGCTTTGGCATATCTACTGTTGTTATTTTGCAGGTCTTGTTTAGGCAACCATATTACTGAGATTTCATGTGTGCAGCTTCCCTGTTATATTTAAAAGACAGTGTCTCACAGCAGATGCCCTTGTCCTCTGGCTTTTGTTTTTTGTTTTGCTTTGCTTTTGGAGACAGAGTTTCTCTGTGTAACAGCCCTGGCTGTCCTAGAACTCACTCTGTAGATCAGGCTGGCCCGGAACTCACAGAGATCCGCCTGCCTCTGCCTCTGCCTCTGGAGTGCTGGGATTGAAGGCGTGCGCCACCACTGCCCAGCCTCCTCTGGCTCCATGTTCCCTGAGCATTAGGTGCAAAGATTTAAGTAACTGCAATGAGCACCTCATGGCCAGTTCTCTGCATTCTTACCAGCGGTGGATGTTTGTAAAGAATTTTAAAAAGGCCTGGAGAGAAGGCTCACAAGTTAAGAGCGCTGACTGCTCTTCCAGGAGTCCTGAGTTCAATTCCCAGCAACCACATGGTGACTCACAACCATCTGTAATGAGATTTGATGCCCTCTTCTGGCCTGCATGCATACATGCAGACAGGATACTGTTTATATAATAATAAATAAATCTTAAAAAAAAAAAGGCTTCTCTGAGGAGTGAGAGTTATACTTACCAGGCTGGGCCAGCCTGCAAATCACATTGCTGTAATCTTTTGTTAAATAATCAAGTATGTATCAGGCAAGCTCTGATTTTGTTTATAGTTTTAAATTTTTAAACATTCAGTAGAAGCCGGGCGTTGGTCATTGGTGGCGCACGCCTTTAATCCCAGCACTCGGGAGGCAGAGGCGGGCGGATCTCTGTGAGTTCGAGGCCAGCCTGGTCTACAAAGTGAGTTCCAGGACAGCCTCCAAAGCCACAGAGAAGCCCTGTCTCGAAAAACCAAAAAAAAAAAAAAAAAAAAAAAAAACATTCAGTAGAGAGCAGTTATTTTCCAAACCTTAAAATTTTTATTTTTAGTTGGATTTTTCTTTGGGCTACCAGCTCACAAATAACAATACAGAGATTTATTATTAACTATGAAAGCTTGGCCTTAGCTTGAGCTTGTCCTACTAGCTCTTATAACTTAAATTACCCCATTTATATGAATCTCCACTCTGCACATGGTGCTATCTCCGAACTGCCCATCCTGCTTCCTCCAATTCTGGCTGGTGAGTCCACCTTCTTTTGAAGCCCCTCCTATATGTCCTGGCTAGATATTGGCATTCAGCTCTTTATTATAACAATCAGAAGGCATCTTAGGCAGAGACATATTTACAGTGTACACAAGAATTCTGCGACACTTTATTTGTTGTGTGTACAATATTCATGGAATGGGGACATGACCCATGTATGGAAGTCAGAAGACAACTTTGTGGTGTCAGTTCTCTCTCTCAGCATTTACACAAGTTCCCGAGATTGAATCCAGGTCTTCATGCTGGCATTGTCTGGCTTCAGGTACCTTTACTCACTAGGCCATCTGACCACCCTACATTTTTGCTTTTAACCTTTTCTCTGATAGAATTCCTGGTCTCTATACATAGCCAGCAACTTAAATTCTTTTTCGGTTTTTCAAGACAGCGTTTCTCTGTGTAGCTTTGACTTCTGAAATTCACTCTGTAGACCAGGCTGGCTTCGAGCTCACAGAGATCCTCCTGCCCCTGCCTCCCAAGTGCTGGGCTTAAATGCATGTGCCACCACCTCCCAGCTCAACTTCACCTCTTGAATGTTTTCACCAAACTGAATTTCTTTCCTTTCTTTATTCTTTGAGAGCATCACATAAGTATGTAAAGTCTTTAGGTCATTTTACTCCTTCATTATTCTTTTTCATGCCCTGAACTCCTACTGAACCCTTTCTTCTCAACAAGTCTTCCTTCATGTTTGTTATTTGTGTGTGTGTGGCCCACTGCACAAGCATGGATAGGGAAGTTATTCACTGAAACTTGGGCAGCTTAATGGCTATACTGCTAAAGAAAATGATCCCCTCCCATTCCCCAGCAACTATAACTGCCAGTAACTCCTCAAAGATGGGCGGACCTTATGACTCTCCATGACCCTGTATTTCTCCCCACACACATAAGATTTATTTATTTGTGTGTACGTGTGTGTGTCTAAGTGTATATATGTTCATATGCATGCAGGTGCCTGTGGAAGCCAGAAGAGTGTGTTAGATTTTCTGGAGGTAGAGTAACAGACACTTGTGAGCTGCTTGATACGGGTGCTGGGAACCTGAGCTCTTTGGAAGAGCAACAAGTACTCTATCTTCTGAACTATCTCTCCAGCCCCACTTTGTATTTCTGGGAGGAAGAAAAAGCAGAATTGCAAAACAATTGGAACTTTACCAGGGAACTTGAGGTTTCCTTTTGTGGGCGTTTAGTCCTTTAATAAAACAATTTAGAAACTGACTTAGAAGGAAGTTTAAGGGCCATTTCTTTAGAGTTTGAAAAAAACAAGAGCAGAATGGTGGTGGTGCACACCTTTAATCCTAGCACTCGGAAGGCAGAGGCAAGCAAGTCTCTGCATTCTAGGCCAGCCTGGTCTACAGAGCCAATTTAGGACAGCCAGGGCTACACAGAGAAACTCTGTCTCGAAAAATCAAAAGAAAAGGAAAGGAATAAACAAGATCAAAAAGTTATAAAATGTGGCTACTACCAGGGAAGGGAGATAGAGAAGAGGAAGAGAGAAAGTCATGCCTTGCTTTTTAATTTTATTTTATATGTGCTTGGAGGTTTTACTTGCCATTTACCATGAAGAGCTGTAGGCAGTCAATGCTTAGAGAAGGAGAATCAGTCTTCTCCAGGGACAAGTCCCTGATAGGTTATCCATTCCAGGTGCTCAGTCCTAAACACATACATAACAGCAACACTAAATAGACTCAGCAGGTTATATTTATATGTACATTGGTGTGTGTGTGTGTGACAATAAAGATGAAATCATGAAGAGAGGTAAGGACATGGAAGAAATCGAAATGGAGAGAGAGAGGGGGTGGAAGTTATATAAATACATTACTCATACATGATTTTTAAAAAAGAGCTGGGCATAGTGGCACATGACTTTAATTCCAGCAGTTGGGAGGCAGACAGGTAGATCTCTGAGTTCAAGGCCTGTCTGGTCTACATAGTAAGACCCTGACTCAAAAATAAATAAATAGTAAAAAAATGGCAATCTGACAATTATAGCTTATATATTAGAACAAATAAATGTCTGGGATCTATAACTAGCAAATTTATTGTAGAAACATGCATAGATTATTTCTTGTCAAATAGTCTAATTTCAGGCAGCTTATAAAGGAAACAACTTGGAAACAGTTATCTCCTTCCTCCATAGAAGTCCTGGAGATTAAACTCCAGTCATTAGACTTGATACTTTGAATCTTCTGAACCATTTCATAGGTTCTGAAAGTCATGCCTTTCGAATTAGAGTCCAAGAAACCAGGAGGGTGCAGCCATGGAAGTCAGCAAACAGCTATAAGTGGGGTAGAGGAGTAATTTATGACTCAAGAAGTTTCAGGCATTTTAGGATCTTTGTTGTAGGAGCCAGAAGTATTTTTATTATGCCACATTTGAAAAATTAACTAGTTTATAAAGCTATTTAAAAAATTCCAAAATAAGAGGACTGCTAAGTAAATAAATGTAGCTGTTAAAATCGTATGTATCCAGTCCAGCACTCAGGAGGCAGAGGCAGGTGGATCTCTTGAGTTCAAGGCCAGCCTGGTCTACAAAGGGAGTTTCAGGACAGGTTCCAAAGCTACAGAGAAACCCTGTCTTGAAAAAAATTGTATGTGTCCATGTAGAAAGGAGGTTAACTTTTGAAATTGATTAGCAAATTCATCTATTTTCAAGTACAAGTTATCTATTACTAGCAATTTTACCAGCAGGAAATAAGAATTCTAAAACTGCCAACTTAAGTCATGCAGTCTACAATTTATGAATGAGTTGTGTTCCCAAAGTTGGCGTTTTGACTCTGAACCACATCTTCCCAAAGAAACTTGTGTTATAATTACCAAACCCAAGTCATCCTATCATAGCCTTAATTTCACTTACAGAATTCCTGAGTATGTATAGTATATACGTTCTATTTAAACACATTTATGAGTAGACAGCGTTTTGAGTTACAAGTAGGCACTTTAAGTCAGCAGGTAACCGTCTGTAAATCTTCCCCTCTCTGCTCTGTGTGGGTTTTCTGAAAGTCTCCAATGGCATCGTTGAGGGCTTAAGAGCATTATTTCTCAGTGTAAGAGTCTTCCCTTTGATCACCATTTCGCTAACATTCTTTTGCAATTTAGGTTGAATTCTCTTACCCACCACTAATTCCAGGAGATGGACATGACAGCCACGCTTTACCTGAAGAATGGAAGTATTTGCCTTTCCTCGCCTTACCGGATGGTGCACATAACTATCAGGAAGGTGTGTCAGTAGATAGTAGACCAATTACTAGGTGCAGTTTTGGAAATTTTTTCAGTAACAGACTTGAATACTTTGGTAAAAGGAAACCTTTGAACCTATTACGATTATTTATGAAATGTGTGTGGTTTGGATGTGAGGTGTGCACCAGAGAAGCTTCAGGGTGCTGGGTCTGTTCCTGGGTCAGTGACCCTTGGCTCCCATCCTGTTCAGAGCACTCAGGTATAGCCAAAGCGGGGCAGCTGTTGATGGGTTTCTGCCTACAGTTATATCATGCTTCAGACTCCACTCAGTGGCAGAAATGAATAGTTACCTGCATGGCCTGGGAAGCTCTGGTTTCAGACTTAGTAGACCACCCTCTCATGCCCATCTGAATACAGCTCAGATTGGTTATTTGACTCTGAAGCCATCGTTGCAACCCTATACTTTGAAAGTTGCTTGCTTGCATGAGGAGAATGTTTGTGTCCCCCAAGGAGACTGTGGTGACATTTCCACTGAGTCTTCTACCCCCCCATGAAAAGTGCTGTACCAGACCTAGTGAAGTACTATTTTACTTTGATTAAACCAGATTCAGTGTAATTTGACTACTTGTTTTCCTATTGCAATATTTAACATTTCCCTTATAAAATAAATCAAATATTACCAGGCAGTTTAAAATAAGTTTTGTTACAGGATATGTAACTTGAGAAATATGTTTCTTCCTGACTTTTGTTATGGATGCTTTCAACCTGGTGAAAGAATTAAATTAAGATTATAGGAAATATTATTACAAGTTTTCATTATGTTTATGTGTATGTTTTCAGTTTTGTCTACTTTTTATTCTAAAGTCATTTGGAATAATGACAGATACTTGACTTCTAAATACCTTAGTACATGCATGCACCTCCTAAGAATATAATCATTCCCCAGCACCCAGTTATATTATCCAGCTAGAAGATCTAACAGTAATTCCATAATGCGATCACACATCCAGTCTATGTTCAGATCTCCCCAGTTTTCTCAAAATTTCTTGAATCCACTCAAGATTCACATGTTGCCATCAGTTTTTAGACTTGACTTTCCTGTAGTCTGGAACAGTCCCTGCATATATTTTCTGTAATTGTACAGTTGATTTGACCTATTATGTCCTAGGTTTTGTGACAGTCATGTACTATAAGATTGGGAAAAAGATTGTGATAAGTATCACATGGTTCCTAGATGTGTCATCATTTGTGTGTTAATGGCTGCATTCTAACTTCACATTTGATTGTTTAGTAATGAGTAGTTAACATCACTATTTACATTTTTCTGTGTATCTCTTAGATACTGTGTTTTTTCACTTGCCACCCAGAAATGGAAATGGAGCCACTGTATATGGTATCTCTTGCTATCGACAAATTGAAGCCAAGGTATGGTAATTGACGGTGAGCAACAGCAGGAAAAAGCTCCTCTGACCTTTTCTTAGATGTTGGTCATTTGGGAAATCAGTCTTTCCTTTTAATGTAGTAGATCATGCGAGTACCTGAAGAGGCCAGAAGAGGGTGTTCAGTCCCATGGAGCTGTTGTGAGCCACCTGACATGGCTTCTGGAACAGAAATGGGACCGACCTTCAGAGCAGTGTGCACTCGTAACTGCTGAGTCATTGTTCCAGCTCCAGAGTTTTAGGTTTTGCGTAACCTCCTTCCTGGTTGTTATGGCCGTAACAATTTGCACCCTTACTAGCAGAGAGTGAGGGTTTCTCTTTCTCCACACAGGTACCAGCATTTGTTATGAGTTGTTTGTGTGGGGGTCTTTTGTCATGTATTATTTTTATGAGCATATTTAAATTTACATAATGTGAACTAATGAAAAGATGGCATCAAAATCACATTAAAAATTAAACTCAGTGGAAGTGGTTAAATGTATAGAAATGTACAAAAAGAATATCACAGCATTTTCAGTAGCATTACTAATGAAAAGAGGAATATATCCGGAAGTAAATTTGAGCATCAGTTCCTAAAGCACATTTGTGGTATGGTGGCCTTCTTTATCTCTCCTAACTAGTTTTGAAGTCTACTTTGGAAGCTATGAATCTAGCAACATTAGTTTTTTTGAAGGCTCCCATTTTCTTGGTGGGTTGCTTTCCATCCTTGTGTTTCTCAGTTTTTAGATATGTGGCAGGTATGTTTTTAGGAGATAGCAGTCAGTTTTTATGGGCTGGTTCTCACTGAATGGTTGGTCTGGTGTGTGACTTGTACATAAAGCAGTTTCCATCAGCCTGTAAACTCCAAGACAGTGGGGATTGTTCCTTCACTATTCTACCCAGTGCCTCGTTTCTGACATTCAGTGCTAGTCTAGCATATATATTCAACTAGCATATCTGAGATTCACTGGGAAGTTCTTTAGTTTAAATGAATGCAAGATTTTTTTCTATCTAATTATTACGTTCATATTGAAACTGTTTTGTAAATGCAGCTATGAAGTATGTCTAATAAATAACTGTTTGCTTGTTATAGGCATTAAAAGTAAGGCAAGCTGACATCACCAGAGAGACTGTTCAGAAAAGTGTCTGTGTTTTGAGCAAGCTGGTAAGAGATAACCTTACATAGAAACATTCAAGGCAGAACTTTTGTTTTAGAGTAAGGATGTATGAGAATAAGGACTTGATAAAATTAGTCAAGGGCTTACTGATGTGCTAATGTCTCATCTGCTTCCAGCAGTTTGCTTTTATTTGTATTCTGCTGAAGACTCTTAAGATGAGCAAGTGACATTTGACCAAATGAAGCAGCTGTTATATTTCATTTATCTATTTTTGTTTTTACCCAAGACTTTGGATAAATGCTATTTTAACAACTTTAAAAAATCATAATTGCTCTAATTTTATTTGTAATATAAGAGTTCATGACTATTGTAGTGAAGACATTTAACCTTAGTATATACCTTAAATTTCAGAATGTTTGAGAAAAGCCAGTGACATGATAAAACTGCACATACTGTAACAGTATTTCAGAGCTGTGTTTCTCCTAGGTGCATTGTTTTCAAGTTGATATTAACAGTTACACACTTAAACTTGTATTTTACTTTTTAAATTGTACTGTTAGTCTTGGGGGAGGAGTGCATGCCACATTGCACTTTTCAAGGCCAGGGGACAACTTTGTGGAGTCACTGCTCTCTCTCTCTGCCTTTATGTAGGTTCCAGGGATCAGACTTGGATCATCAGTGTTGTGTTGTAGGGTTGCAAGTACATGTATCAGCTGGGCCAATGTCATTGTCCCTATTTTAACATCATTATGTTTTTTAAGACAGGGTATCACATGGCTCAGGTTGGCCTGGAACTCTTTATATAAGACCTTGAACTTCTGATTCTTCTGCCTCCACTTCTAGAATTACATGTGTGTATGATCACACTCAGCTTATTCTTATTTTTGTAAAAGGAAATAAGTGACTGGGATGTATATATTATGCAAATCCTAGTTTTGATCTTCATCACCACAAAGGGAGAGTTGGGGAGAAGAAGGACCAGAGAGAGGAAGGAAGGAAATAAAAATTAATGACACTTTTGGTTTTCATAGTCCTCAGGTGAATAATTTATAGTATTTGATTAGGGTTGATAATCATTAAGATAATGACACTTTTGTTTCAAATGCCCAACTCTACAGTAAACTTTAGTGCCCCACCCCCAGATCTCCCTGGGAAATAGTCTAGATCAATATTATGTTAGTTATCTGTACTTTATAATTACTATTCTAGCCATTTTGTAGTCACTCCAAACCAAAATTTAAAATGTTTTATTGGCCTAATTACCAGATGTATGTAGGTTTTGTCTGATTATTTCTTGGGTACTTATATAATTTCCTTACTCACTGGCAGTTTAAATACTCTTTGTATAACTAGGAATGAGGCAAGCAGATCTTTGAGAGTTTAAGGCCTGCCTGGTCTGTATAGTGAGTTCTAGGCAACCAGAGTTACATAATGAGACTGTCTCAAAACGAACAGAAAGTTTTAGCCGGGTGATGGTGGCACGCACCTTTAATCCCAGCACTCAGGAGGCAGAGGCAATGGATCTCTGTGAGTTCAAGGCCAGCCTGGTCCTTAGAGCAAGTTCCACGACAGCCAGGCTATGCAAAGAAACCCCACCTTGAAAAACCAAAACAAAAGTTTTTTATAATGTAATTCCAGGTTTGCATGATAGGATTTACTACTATTGAAAGAGTAAGAGTAGAAAGAAAAGGAAAAGGAGAGAGAAGTGACTGGAGAGAGACATGAATAATAATAATTTATAATAAATACTTTTTTTCTTGCAGGAGAAAACAGAGTCTCACTATTGTAGGCCTGGCTGGCCTTGAACTCACAGAGCTTTCCCCACCTGCCTCTGCCTCTGCCTCATGAATATTGGGATTAAAGGTGTGGATCAGCATGCCATGCCATATCACAATGACTCTAATCTTAATTTGTAATAATACATACATCATTATAATAACAATACACAGTTTCTAAAGGTTAGCCTGAAAAATATACATCAGTTAATTTGTATAAAGGATCCATTAACCAAAACATAGGCTATCATATGTGTAAGTAGATACATGTTGAAAGGCTCCCCAGATAGTCACCTTTAAAGGGCAATTTGGATAACAGAAACCACCAAGTGTCTGTCTATATCAGGTGTTAGTTCTTACCAGACATTTCATATAACATTGTATTTTTTTATTTTCCTAACAATCTTAAGATATTTTTGCTAATGTCATTTTACAACTAAACAAATTTTAGAGTAACAATATCTAATTCTCATAATTTGTCAGACTATTAAGTATAAAAATAGGGTAAAAATCCAGTTTTGTCTGCCTCTAAAGAGACATAAGGAATGAGAACAATTTACTTAATCAGAAAGGTTTACTTGTTCATAGGGCATTAAAATGAATATGAAAATATAATGGTATTGTACGTAAGATAATACTCGTGTATTTGCAGGGATGGGGACTGTAATGATTCCTCTGTCTCCCCAGCCAACTCCCAAATAATGACACGGAGACTTATTATAATAATTGTGAATGCTTGGCCTTTAACTTAGGCATGTGTCAACTAGTTCTTTTAATTCAATCAATTTATATTAATCTACGTTCTGCCACAAGGCATTACCTCTCTTCCATCTTGCACTTTGTGTGTTTTCTGAGTCTGGCTAGAGTCTCTACCTTTTTTCTTCCCAGAGCCCTCTCTGTCCCCAGAAGTTCCCACTAAACTCTCCTGCCTAGTTATTGTCCATTCAGCTCTTTATTAAACCAATCAGAAGGCTCCTTGGCAAAGACACTTCTGCACAGTGTAAACAAATATTCTGCAACACAGGACTAGCTTAGTATTACTTGCATTCTAAAAGGGTCACATAAATGAGAAAAATTCTCAAGAATGTTAAACAAAAGGGTGGATGTGATCCATTTTGGTTAGGAAAAATAAGAATTAAAGAATAATTTTGCTCAAGTGCACAAAATAATAATATGGTAGAAGACATAGACTAGGTGCTCTCACCTTCCACAGATAACAGGAAACAAAGGATGTGAGCTTAAATCAATATTCAACTTGGTGTAGGAACCAGACCACTTGAGGATGATTAGACATTACCACAACAGAATGAATGCAGTAGCTATTGACATTCTTGCTATGTGCCAGAGACTCTGTTAGTGCTTTTCCTATTATTTGATCTTTAACACAGCCATAGAAGTTGCACCTTTTTTGTGTACAGGCTCACTGGTGAGGAGGTATGAAAGAGTTAAGGGCCCTTAATTAAGCAGCTGAACGATGGAGAGGACCCAGAGTCTGAGCTGACTCACCACCGCCTTGGCAAGATAGCTTTCACCTGGTGTCACAGAGCGAGAGCTGATATCGCAGCTTCCAGCCATGTATGTGGGCCCTCAGTTGGTGCTAATAACTTTCCTCCTTGATGTCTTCAGGGTAAAAGAGGATAGGGATTTGTTTGTTCCTGTTGTTTGCTATGATCAACCTAATGATGGTTTGTCTTCTTCTTTAGCCTCTTTATGGCTTACTTCAAGCAAAACTTCAACTCATTACACATGCATATTTTGAAGAGAAAGATTTTTCCCAGATTTCTATTCTAAAGGTAACTAATTTCCCTACAGATGTGTTTGGTGGAAGGTAGCTTAATGAATCAAGTAGCTCTGTAGTAGTACTGTGAAGGATAGTCCTTGATAGTTTCAGGAAAACATGGTGTGAAAATGCATTTGCTTTGCCCCAGGAGATGATTGAGTGCTTAAGAGCACTTGCTGCTCTTGCTTCTTGCAGGGAGCCAGGCTTGGTTCCCAGCACCCACAGCGAATGGTTCACAACCTCCTAGGGCTCAATCTGAGGTCATCTTCTTTGGCTTATTCAGGGACACAACATGCACGTTAATAAAAATGTTAAGGTTCATCTTTAAAATATATATATGCACATATATATTAAAAATAAATCATTATTTAAAATATATTTGCACTAAGCATTGATACTCTAGCAAGCTTTACCCAAGTACTGAACTCAAACTGTCCTTGAGGAGGTAGTAACCACAAGCAACTACTATCAATGCCTCTTACAAGTGTTGTGCTATGACAGTATGTCTATAAATTTGAACATCTGGTTCTAGTTCCTGATATTTTATTTAAGAAGGATTGCATATTTTTCTCAAGACTGTCATCAATATACAGTTCTGGATCTGTCCTAGCCCTGGGGGAGAGGGGCAGTTAGGATTTAGTGAGGAGGCAGAGGAAAGGTAATTTTTACCACCATCAAAGCACTGAAATGGCTCAAAAGAGAAAGACTGTCCCGAGTAGCTTTTTGTTCTTTTTGCTCAGATACTCTCCTGATATTGTTGATATCTACAAGAGAAGGGATGAGTTCAGTGCTGAAAACTAGTAGGTTTGAGAGACTGTGGTTCCTTAATTTAGTAGGTTTCAGAATGACCTACACAATCCTTTTCTGATTGTCATATTTCTTGGAGCTTAATGTCTAAAGTGACAGTGAAAGGTTCTAAACTCAGTCTGCATTCCACAGGAACTCTATGAGCATATGAACAGTTCCTTAGGAGGGGCCTCATTAGAAGGATCACAGGTGTATCTTGGTAAGTAACTTGTAGGTTAGAAGCTGTGTCCTCAAAAGTTTTCTGTCTGTGGCCAAACTGAGTTGTGTAACTCTTCATGATCAGAACTGTTAAAGCATATGTGTGTTTCAGCCGGGCGTTGGTGGCGCACGCCTTTAATCCCAGCACTTGGGAGGCAGAGGCAGGCGGATCTCTGTGATTTCGAGGCCAGCCTGGTCTACAGAGTGAGTTCCAGGACAGCCTCCAAAACAATACAGAGTAAACCCTGTCTCAAAAAACCAAAAAAAAAAAAAAAAAAAAAAAAAAAGCATATGTGTGTTTCATTGAATGTTATACAAATAACTTAATATTCGCAGTCTTTGTATGGGATCTAAGTTCTTAAGCTTGCTTTTTTCCTTAAATACCCTTTTAGCCAGCATTCATACGATATTGATCATTATCTTACACTAGTAGTGACAGTTACAGGTATTGCACAGGTGAGTTTGAGCTTTTTAGAATAGTACTGGACTTCTTTCCATTAATGCTGATCACTGTAATTACCAGTAGGATGGGGGTGGGGTGCTGCTTAGCTCTTGACTGAGATCCTTCATCTTGGGGATTTATTAAATGTACACTGTTTTGACAGCTGAAAACATCCATTGTTACCTGAGGCACTCAATAATTATTCTTTTGTGGTGAATATTCAATTATGGTGATGTTTGCGTCCTCCGTTTCCATTTCAGTGTGAATTACTAATACTAATGTAGTTAGTTATACAGAAAGTCAACTAGATAGTTCTGTTCTGAGAGTGTATTTATAAATTGTTTTCTCTTTTACTGTGGTGCTTTAGATGAATAATTGGAAAACAATGACTCAGAAATAACAGTATATGTAATATAGTAACTGGCTGCTACTATGGTGTAAGCTTCATGATTTTTAAACTTCTGTGGTTTATGTTTGTAGAATAGCAGTGTTAGACCCAGTGTCTAAAGCAGTATTCACTAATAATGTATAGATCTGTATATTTATATTGCTCTTAATAAAATTTTAAAGCCACAGTTAATGTGTCAGTGGCTAATGTGTCTGACAGGGCATATTTAAACATTTTCATTCTTGGTGAAGATTCTGTTAGACAGTACTCTTTCTGAGTATATATGTATTTTACCAGATATTACATAAATGTTTGAATATTTACATATTCTCATTTGCTTTTTTAGATATTCTCTTCCTTTCACGCTTAGTTCTCCTGTTTACATTGCAGGTCTGTCTCCTCGAGATCTTGTCCTTCATTTCCGACACAAGGTGTGACAGATACCCTTCAACTTGATGTACTGGAATGGGAACGGCTGCTCTTGGGTTCCTTTTCCTGTGAACTCAGCAGGCAGTGTCACAATCAGCTGACGGCATAATTGTGGTTTTGCTCCTCTAAGACAGCTTCCTAACCACACAGAGCAGGCGGTGTCAGGAAAAGTCTGGGAGTACCTCCTGCTGGATAGGGTTTGCTTTTGATTACTTTGTTCTGCAGTCTGCAATTTCACTTAGTGTGGGTGGAAAAAAATGTGTTCCCTGAAAGTGGGACATTTTTCTACATAAATTATTGTTTCTTTTGTTGTGGGTTTTGGTGCCAGACATGATCTTTATAGCTAAAGTATATATTATCTAAGACATACATACATTAGTCATTTATTTACCAAACCTTTATTGAATATCCATGTAAATGCTATGTCTCCCAGACTACCCCTGAACTCACTGTATAGCTAAGGATGACAGAATTTCTGATCCTCCTGCCTCCATCTCTGAGTGCTGAGATTTCAAGTGTGTACCACCATGCAGAGCTTAAATAGTTCTGGGAACCTAAACACATAGCTGCCATACACAGTAGGTATACACGTTACCAACTGAGCCACTCCCCAGCCTCAAATCTCTGCCTTTTCTTGAAATGTTTCAAGCAGAGATAACACTGTTCCTTCCAAAAGCAAACTGTTTCATTTGAAGATAAATTATTCTCATATTTCGTGAGAACATTGGTAATACTTAATTTCTCAATTCAAGTTCATAATTTCTCATGTATCTTAAGTATTATAATTATTTTTTTGTTTTTGTTTTTGTTTTTACGAGACAGGGTTTCTCTGTATTGTTAAGTATTATAATTATTAATATTAAGTAACATGACTATATTTAGAAAAGAAAATAGCATGATTAATAGACCTGAGTTCTTATTTTAACACAGCATTTCTTTTCTTTCTGCAGGTCTTGATCCTGTTTAAGCTAATTCTTCTTGAAAAAAAGGTGAGATATAGAAAGATGAAAGGAAGAACAGATGTTTTATCTTTTATTGGCATTGCTTACATATTGTGTTACATGGGAATTAATGATTAAGTATTGAGACATATTTTTTCTATCAAATGAGGCAAAATTCTTTTGTTTGCTGTCATAAACATAAAATTTGTGTGCTCCTTTTGGAGCCAGTTTGGTAGTATATTCAATTATACTATTACTGAAAGAAGTTTAAAATAGCTTAAATAGAAAAGGAAATGTGTTCAGTCAGACTCGGTGCTTCCAAGGTATCACAACCTTGGGTTTTCTCTTTGTTCTACAGTTCAATTAATTTAACTCAGAGTCTCTTATATACAAGAGATTTCCAACAGTAATTTAATGGCTCTTTCTTCCTCAGACATAATACAGCTTCCTAAATCATTTGTCTTATCAGTTTGTTTTGGCCCACTAGGCAGCATGCCCACTACTAAATTCAGAATTGTTACCAAAAGCTTGCCTACACTAATAGGCTTAAATTTGGGTTCCAGACTGCTCTGTACTACAAAGAGATGGAATTTGGGATTGCCATGATTGTTGCTGACCTCAGGTCTATGAACTAGGCATCATAGCCAATTCTAGCTTACCACTTACTTTTATAGAAGTTTATTGTTTTTAAAATTTATTTGTATTTATATGTGTGTGCTTATGTTTATGTATGTGGGTGTGTGCACGTGTATACAGGTACCTGTGGAAGCCACAAACAGAATTATCGGATACTACAGGGTACCTAATGTGGGTGCTAGGAATTGAACTCAGGTCTTTTGCAAGAGCAGCAGTTGTTCTTAACTATTGAGCCATGAGTTTTATAGAAAGTTTTCTGGCCAGGCAGTGGTGATGCATGCATGCCCTTAATCCCAGTATTGAGGAGGCAGAATACTATCTATATTTTTGGGGCTTCTTGAGGCAAGGTGTCTCTGTATAACAGCCCCAGCTGTCCTGGAACTTACTCTGTAGACCAGGCCGGCCTCAGACTCACAAAGATCCACCTGCCTCTGCCTCCCAAGTGCTGGGACTAATGGCATGTGCCACCAATACCCGGTTGTGGTTGGGTATTGTACTTTTTTTTTTTTTTTTTTTTGGTTTTTCGAGACAGGGTTTCCCTGTTGTTATTGTTTTGGAGGCTGTCCTGGAACTCGCTCTGTAGACCAGACTGGACTTGAACTCACAGAGATTCTCTGCCTCCTGAGTGCTGGGATTAAAGGTGTGCGCCACCAACACCTGGCATGGTTGGTACTTTTTAAAATTATGGACCGCTTCATTAATTTGCATGTAATCTTTGCACAGGGTCCATGCTAATCTCTGGATAGTTGCAATTTTAGTATCTGTCCTGCTGAAGTGAGTTCCACTGACACTTTTTAAAAGAATATAGTCACGTATTGTAGAATTAAATGTGTGACTGACTTCTTCAGGTTAGTTTCAGATTGCAAATTTTAAGCATTTTTAGCAAGATGCTAGATGAGTGATGACATTACCTCGAATATGACATAGCTGTACTGTTCTTGGTAATAGAAAATCTGATCATTTGGTTAAGGTGACAAACTTACTTTAACCAATAATTTGGGAGACAATAAATCTGACATATTGTGAATATTCTGTTGCCCAACAATCTACCATGGTCATTTCATGCAGGCAGTATTTTTATAATTATATTTATATATATATAATATATATATTTATATTTTTATTTATTAAAACTTTATTATAAAGAACTTGAAAATTTTTTTAAATTATGAAATTAATCAGACCCAAAGTTTAGTTAACTCGTGTGTGTGTGTGTGTGTGTGTGTGTGTGTGTGTGTGTGTGTGTGTGTGTGTGTGTGTGTGTAGCAGTTTCTTCTGCTGTGTATGACACACAGATTAAACTGAGGTCATCCATCTTGGCAGGCACCTTTGAATCGTCACCAGACCTCAAATTGTACCTGAATTGTGGTGGTTGGGAAGGCTGATTTTTGTTGTTGTTGTTGTTGTTTTAAATCATGACTCAAGAATTGGGGGAGGGGGTTATTTGTTTATTTGTTTTAAAAGATGTATTTATTTATTTTACGTCTATGAGTGCTCTGTCTTTATGCACACCAGGAAAGGCAGTCAGATCCCATTACAGAGGGCTATGAGCCACCGTGTGGTTGCTGGGAATTGAATTCGGGTCTTCCAGAAGAGCAGCCAGTGTTCTTAGCTGCTGAGCCATCTCTCCAGTCCCTGTTTGTTTTTAAGTATTACTCATATACAAAGAATCTTCCATTTATATATTATTACAGTCTCTTGAATTTTCTAATTTCATTTCATTGGAATCCATTTCAGGTTCTTTTTTACATTTCTCCAGTGAATAGATTGGTGGGTGCGTTAATGACCGTATTATCCCTTTTTCCAGGTAAGAGGATAACCATAGCTACTTTTATTTAAGATTTAGTAATAAAAGTATACAAAAATAAACTCACTAATGTTAACATTTCTATTTTAATTTTTCTTTTGGCAGTAGTTTTTTTTTGTTTGTTTTGTTGTAGGGTTTTTTTTTCCCCTTTAGCCAATGTAGCAGATCTTTCGTTGGACCACCAGCTCCCAAATAATGACAGAGACTTATTACTAATTCTGAAAGCTTAGGCCTGTTCCCCGCTAGTTTCTAACCTTAAATTAACCTGTTTATCTACACTCTATCTGTTTGTCTACACTTGGTACCATATGTCTGACTTCCTCCACATCCTGCTGGCAAATCCCCTGCCTCTCAGATTCTTCCCAGAGTTCCTATCTCTGCCAGAAAGCCCCACCTATCCTCTCTTGCCTAATTATTGGCCATTCAGCTCTTTATTAAACCAACCAGAAGGTGCCTGAGGCAGGTGAGGTAAAACAATGACACATCTTCCACATAGCGTGATCAGTTATCCCACAATAAGTCTGTGTGTCTTTATTTCTTTATTTTATTTTTTTAGCCTTTACTGTGGACAATATGGGGGACTTCAAGCCATGGCATGCTGGTGGTCAGAGGACAGCTTATAAGAGTGTTCCCTTCTTCCACTGTGTGTGTATTGTGGTATAGAACCTGAGTATTCAGGCTTCTTAACTCTTTTTTCCCACAAGATAGAATTCCTCTGTGTAGTCCTGGTTATCCTGAAACTCACTATGTGGACCAGGCTGACCTCGAACTCAGAGATCTGCCTGCCTCTGCTGTATGTGTGCTGGAATTAATTCAGGCGTAAATATAGCTTTTGAAAAAATTTTATAGATTTCCACTCTGTAAACTAGAATATACACCTCTTATTCTGTATTATTATAATCTAAGGTTCTCCAATATTTTACATTTTAGGCATGATTGAACATGGCCTCAGTGACTGTTCTCAGTATAGACCCCGAAAGAGTATGTCTGAAGATGTTGGGCTTCAGGAAAGTAATCCCCCTGCAGATGATTTTATTTCTGAGTCTACTTCTGACTTTTCAAATACCAACTTGGGAACTGTCACAAAAATCATTTCAGGGAACCATGGAGGAGACACTGTCCTCCAGTTGGAAAAACCTTGTTTCCAGGTAGAAGATAACAACAACAAAGAACAAGAACCCAGCGATACTGGCCGCTATTTGAAACTCCCACCTCGTCCATCTCCAGAGTCTTCAGAAAGTGACTGGGAAACTTTGGATCCTAGTGTTTTAGAGGACTCTAGCTTGAAAGAAAGGGAACAGATGGGGTCAGACCAGACAAACATATTTCAAAAAGACTCTGTGCCCTCAGACAGTCCTCCAATTACTGTACAACCTCAAGCTAACACCAGGCAGGTAGTTCTGATACCAGGACTCATTTCTGGATTGGAAGAGGACCAATACGGCATGCCTCTGGCCATCTTTACAAAGGTAAAATGCAGATTGTTTATTGAGGACATTAAATGTTTGAACACATTTTAGGGTCTAAAAATGGTCCTTGAAAACTGAAATATATTTACTGAATGTATAGTACTGTTAGATCTGTGACCATATTTAAAACTATGGGGAAAAGGCTCAGAGGGAAAGAATTTTGAAGCCAATGGGTAGTTAGGCAAGCAGTCACCACTTTCAATCTATTTTTGGCTATTCAGACTGCTCTTTGAAAACAAAGAATGAAATGAAATCTGTGAACAAGAATCTAGACAATCCTGACTGAACTTAAAGTTTGTATTAAAATACTGTGTTTATAGCCTGTAGTCCCAGCTACATAGGAGACTAGACAGGAAAACCACTTGAATCTAGAAGTTTAAGGCCATCTTAGACAACATAAATTATCTGAGAACAAAGAAAATAATTCTTTTTTTTTATTTTGCCCAAATGTTCTCTTTATTTTTAAAACAACTTTTGTATCAATGTTAAAATAATTGCATAAAATTTTCCCACAATCCTAGTCTCCTTAATTCTTGAAGGTTTAGGAGAGGTATATAACCTCATAAATATTTCTTATACAAATTTCTTAGTAAACATATGTGCAATCTTAAGACAGCTTATTAAATTTCAATTCACCAGACTGTAGTCATCACCTTCAAGCTGATTGTTTATACCATTTAGGGCATTGAAAGAATGAGATCAGGTTTTGTAATCAGAGACACCAATACCAATGCAAGCTTGAATGTTAATGCGGAGCGCCCTCCTGTGGTTCCCTCTCACTCTGCCTTTCTTAGCACTCCAAGGGCATGTCTCCCACTTCTCTATGGGAACCATTCCTCTCTGGGAACCACATTTCATGACAAATCAATCTGAAAGAGTACTATGTAGACGCAAGGCCAAGTTATGTATAAGTGGCCTGGACTCTTGGATCACAGTGTATCAGCCTCAAGAAACTCTTCTCTATTGTCCCAGTGCAGAGCTCAGGGTCTCTGTAATAACTCTAAACTCTCTAACAGTTTCAAAGAAATAATTCTTAAAGCTTCCATTTAAGAACAAAAAAAAAGCTTAAATGTCTAACTTATGTTAGTAAGTATACATATTTATACTCATTAAAATGTATATATTTTATATACTTAATTTTGCTATGAGTTAGTATAAAATTATATCCCAAAACTATTCAATTATTTTATGACAAACTATTCGATCCAGGTATCATGGTGTATACTTGTAATATTAGCAGAAGTGTATCTTCTAAATAACTAAGCACAATGTAATAAATCTAATTAAGTCTTTGATTCAGGATCTTATATCATTGAATATAATTTTTAACATCAGTCCTGCATTAAATATGGTACAATAAACCAGTAACAATGATGCTAAGATATACCTGGGGCTGCTTTGTTTGAAATGGTTTGTTTCTGTTTTTTAAACTATTCAGGAAAATTTTTCCATTGCTATGTGTGAATTATTTTTCAAAGTGGAACAGGGAAAAAAATCCATTTCAACTTTTACTCTGCATATATTTATTGTCCTGTGTGCTAGGTATCATAAATTCTTGGCATCCTCAAAATGTAAATATGCCTTCCAAGTAATTAAAGCCTGGTTTTTCTGTATACATTATTCATGTTTTATTCATGAGGTAAAACTTACATAGAAAACAAAAAAGAATACATATAGTGGTTGAATGAAAACTGATCCTAAAGTTCTCGGGTATTTTAACATTTGGTCTCCAGTTGACAGTTCTGTTTGAGGAGTGTAGGTGGTGCAGCTTTGCTGGAGAAAGGATGTAACAGGGTGGGCTCTGAGATTAAAGCCTCATACCGTTTCCAGCTCGCTCTGTTTCCTACTTGCCATTGAACATGTACGCTCTCCGTTTCTTGTTCCTGCCACCTGCTTTAGTCGTGGTTTTTTTATCACAAGAGAAAAGTTGTCCTAACTACTTGCCTGCAGCTAAATTTAAAGTAATGAACTAATTTCTTTGATAATTTCAAGGCAAGTAATATTGAATCTGGCATTGTTATTGATAACTCTTATGTAGATCTACGATGAAAAACAGTAAACAGGACAGAAATAAATACAAAATGTACAGTTTAAAATAAACCAAGGAACTTAATGATGCAGCCAAAGCTTGTGCTGAAAGAGATAAGAAAATTAGTGCCTTTAAGGAGAGGCCAACTCTGCCCTACTATAAAGGGAAGGGTGTCCTCAGACAAGACTACCAGCTAAGTTTCAGACTGATGAAAGAGGGCCTGAGGCCTTTTCTGCCTTAAAAAAGCTCTGCTGCTTAATGTAATTAAGGGGCCAGTGTTCATCCCAAGCTGGCAGCCAAACTTGACAGTGACGTCCATGGGGTGCTGACCTGTGAAGGGTCATGGATTCCTCCTCCATGGCTTTAGAGAGCTTCTGAGGCCAGGCAGCCTGTAGCCTGAATGAATCTGTGAAAGTTAAGTCTGCTTTGGAGTGGAAACCCTGAGCTGTTAGAAATGCCAGACCCGTAGGACACCTGCCAGGGAGAGCTGCACACAGGGAGTGAAACCAGCCTAAACAGAGATACATGTTACAGGCTGCAAAGCTGGAGGGGCAGAGCCATCTAAGTCTTTTGAAATTAAAGTGCACAACATCAGACATAGAGCTACAGGATGTGAAGTTTCCCCCGCTGGGTTTCAGTCTTGCTTGGGTCCAGTATTTCCCAACTATGCCCCATATTCTCCCTTTTGGAATGGCAATGTATATTCTGTGCCAATATATGTCAAAAGTATATAATTTGTGTTTTGGTTTTTACAATCAAGAGACTCCCTTGAGATTTTATAAGAGACCTTAGACTTTTAAATAATGTTGAGACATTGACAGTCTCTGAAACTTCACAAGCCAGGGTTCCATTACCTCACATTGCTCTCAATATTAATTTCTAAGGTCTCACAACAGCTTATTAACATCTGAACACCAAATAGCTTTTCTAGCCCAGAGTTTCAAAGTCCTTCTATTATCTTTCCCCAAACATGGTTGGGTCTGTCACAGCAAAATCCCATGAACCTCCTACCAATTTCAGTGTTAACTAGGATTTCTATAGCAACTTGGAAAGGAAAGGGTTCATTTCACTTTACAACTCCTAGGTCACTATTGACCCTGGGGGAAATCAGGGCAAGAACCTAGAAGCAGGGACTGAAGCAGAATCTATGGGAGAATGCAGCATACTGACTTTGTCCTTGACTTGTGGAGTTTCACAGGGAAGTTTGAAGAGTCCCTTAAGGACTCTCAGGGCCATTTGTTATTTTGAGTAAAGAAGTGTAGATCTGGTCATCTGGGGGGTGAAGAATCCCCTACAATTAACAAGAGACCAGAAGCAGTAAAGTGAAACCTTTGTTTTGCTGGGACAGTTGGTAGTGGTCAGCTGGAGCTAAAGAATCAGCTGTGATTAGAAAAAGACCAACATCAAGCTGGGAATAGTGGCACATGCCTTTAATCCCAGCCCTCAGGAGGCAGAGGCTGGTAGGATCTCTATGAATTCAAGGCCAGCCTGGTCTACAGAGCGAGTTCCAGGACAGCTAGGGCTGTTACACAAAGAAATCCTGTGACCAAAAAAAAAAAAAAAAAAAAAAAAAACAACCAAAAGAGACCAGCATCATGAAGATAAATCTGGGAAGTGCTTCCTCTGTGTCAGCACACAGCTGTGGTCCAGAGGGGGACAAGGCTGCTGTGCTGGCCACAAATTTGGTGATGTGTAAGAATCTCTTAGATGGTACTGGTTTCCATACCATGAAGAGTAGCTAGGGATTAGCACTACATAAGAAGTTAGGAGAGACCACTAGTGAATGTGCAGCCTCAGGTAAAGAAGCCCCAAGACTGAAGAGGTTGTGGAGAGAAGCTGACTTATCATGTGACAGGCTCAGAGTCCCCAAGAGAGCTGGAGAGAGGCTATTTATTGGTGAAGGTGCAATCCATTTGTGGCAGAGACACCAGCGTTTTGGAAATTGCATTTGATAAGCATCAAAGCCAGGTGTGGAGTAGAGCAATCGTGAGCCCTTGAAACATACTGTGTGTGCTTGGCAGAGCCAGAGGTGGTGCTGCTCAAGTCCTTTGAAGGCCAGAAGATTGAGTCCCAGTTGTCTGACACTGAGCTTTACACCATGGGACTTAGGGTTTCTTTTGTTTAGATTGTGACTCTACCTTCCTTCTTCTTTTGGAATAAGAAAGTACTACTCTTGCTTTTTTTATTTTATAGGAACCCACAGTTATGAGCCTTTAGATACTTTAGAGAGACTGAACTTTTAAAAAGATGTTGGATTTTTAAAGAAAACCTGGATCCTTAAAGTAGTGAAATGTTTTAAGGATGAACTTTTGAAAATGTTCAGTTAATATTGTAATATTAATAGATCTTGGGGATGAACAAGAAAGGAAGGGTTATGATTAATAACAGGGGGTCAAATGTCCTGGTTAGTTTTTGTCAACATGGGAAGAGGCCATCTTAATTGAGAAAACGACTCCATAGGATTGGCTTGTGGACAGTCCTTCCACAGGGCATTTTCTTAAATATTGACGGGGGCGAGCTCAGTCCATCATGGGTGGCTCCATCCCTGGGCAGGTGGTCCTAGGTTGTATAAGAGAGTGGGTTGAGCAAGCCGTGGGGAACAAGTCAGTAGTAGCACTCCTCCAGGTTTCTGCTTCAGTTTGTCTCCAGCTTCCTGCCCTAACTTTACTCAGTGATGGAATGTGACCTGAGAGTTGTAAGGTGAGACAAACTCTTTCCTCCCCAACTTGGCTTTGGTCATGGTGTATTATCACAGCCATAGCAACCCTAAGTAAGAAAATATATGTGCTGTGTGGTCCTGATGTGGTCCCAGATCCCTGGAAAGTGGAGTGCTAAACATTTGTGGCCTGCAAAGCTCTCCAACCCCAGATTGTGAACTTTTAAAACTTTTTCCTGCATCTTTCAGAGCACTTTTTTTTTCTTAAAGATTTATTTACTTATTATGTACACAGTGTTCTGCCAGCATGTATGCCTGCATGCCAGAAGAGGGCGCCAAATCTTATTGCAGATTGTTATGAGCCACCATGTGGTTGCTGGGAATTGAACTCAGGACCTCTGGAAGAGTAGTTAGTGCTCTTAACCTCTGAGCCATCTCTCCAACCCCTCAGAGCACTTTTTATCAGGAGGCAAATGAACTGAAGAAGAATTTTGGTTTTGAGGGTCAAATTGCTGAATTAAAGTGAGGTGAACCTTGTCAATAAACCATATTTAGCTGATAGATGTATGTTCTTTATGCCAGTACTGAATATGTCATAAGCTTCCCACTTTACTATGATAACTAAGTCATTTTTCTTCTCGGCTTAATCTTTTGTTGTGTGTTGAGTAAAACCTAGTTTGTTCCTTTATCACACTTCTAACTACAAATAGTGATCGTTTTTGTCAGTAACTTTGGAAGATGAAATGTTCTTAAAACCACATTGTCTTTAAGCTGTTTTCCTCCTGGAGTTAGTTCTTTTACTTTTAGATCTAGTTTTCTCTTGTACATGTAAAAGTTTTGCCTGCATGTGTATGCGTATATGCAGTGCCTGCTCAGGTCAGAAGAGGGTGTCAGATACCCTAGAGATACCCTTGGGTGACAGAGGGTTAGAGCCACCATGTAGATGCTGCTAATAGCCTGTGCTCTTTTGTTTTTTGTTTTGTTTTGTTTTTGAGACAGGTTTGTTCTTTTTTTTTTTTTTTTTTTTTTTTTGGTTTTTCGAGACAGGGTTTCTCTGTGGCTTTGGAGGCTGTCCTGGAACTAGCTCTTGTAGACCAGGCTGGCCTCGAACTCACAGAGATCCACCTGCCTCTGCCTCCCCAGTGCTGGGACTAAAGGCGTGTGCCACCAACGCCCGGCGAGACAGGGTTTTTCAGTGTAGCCCTGGCTCTTCTGGTACTCAATCTGTAGACCAGGTTGGCCTTGAACTCAGAGATTGACCTTCCTCTGCCTCCCAAGTGTTGGGCATCTCTGGGCTGTAGCCTGTGCTCTTAACTGCTAAGTCAGTCCCCCACCTTAGTGTTTGAACTTGAATAAGGATGATTCCATGTCAGTCTTACAGACCACTTTTACTATGTAAACACTAAAGGTAATAGATTGCCAAATGTTTGTCTGACCTTTTCCTGAGAGCTATTTAAGAAATACACAGAAGTAACAGAAGGGCTGAGGAAATGATGAGTCTAGAAGCAGCTATGAAGCAGGATAGCCATGGAGTGGTAGGAATTAAGTTGTGGATACCAAAAATGGTAGGAAAAACTTTAAAACAAATGCCTGTGAACTCATGCTCTGCAGCTTCCTGAGCAGAGGAACGCTGAGGGGGATAGTGAGGAGCTGAAAAAGAGAGACATAGAAGTGTTTTAGGGTGAGAAAATTCAGTGTAGAGGGTCTTCCATTTCCCCCGGGTTTTGTACTGGAGTTGGGCACATTCTGGCATAGTTAGGGTCGAACTGACTAGAAAGGACTGGGGTCCCTTTCTGTCTAATTGCATGTGTCAGCTTTCCTCTCCAGTTGCAAGTCATTTAGTATAGTCAGTTGAGGTAGTGTAAAAACTATGATTGGAAGTTACTTTGTTATAGTTGCTATTTGTAAATTTAAAACAAAAAATTTAAATAGTGAAATATTATTATCTCAGCCATGTGTGGCGGCAGATGACTGTAACCCAGCACTTTGGTAGCTGAGGCAGGAGGATCCTTTGAGACTAGCCGAAGATACATAGTGGGATCCTGTCTTGGAAAATAAAAGCAAAGTCACTTAATTGCTCAAATTGTAACTGAATATATAGAATATTTTTTTAGTATTTGGTTAGTTGAAGGGGAGATGAATATTTCACTATATTTTTCTACCCTACTCTTTTTTTTTCATCCATTGACAGATACTTTCATTGATTCCACTGCTTGGCTATTGTGAATACTTCTGAGAATATGGATATGCATATATCTCAGTGATGTTTGCTTGGGATTTTTATTTGTTGTAATTTGTGTATTAATGTATGTTAATCACATGGTAATTGTTCTGGTTTTTTTTCTTGTTTTATCAGTATATGATGTCATTTCAAATATAGATGTTAAGTTGTCCTAGGTAAGTAGGAAGCCAGGAGTGGGGTTAGGTGTGAAGTCTTGTTGGAAAAAGACCTATATTCTTCTGCAACCATATTCCAGCACCTCCCAAAGACTTTCGCTAAACTGAGCATCATGGAAAGAAAAATAATGGCACTGCATTAAACGTTTGACCTTGTGTCAATATGTAATATTTCCACATACTTCAATAGTAAAATGGTCCAAAGCACCTGCAGTAAAATTTTCTATGAACTGAGGATGTAGAATGCATGCCTGGCATGCACACAGCTATGGATTCAACCTCTAGAGCCAAAAAGAAGTGTTTCCTGATCATCTCTTCTGCCCACCCGCCTTCTATAATGGCTGCGAACATTACCAATGTCTTATTTCCTTCTGGCGGTATTTTATGGCATAAGGAAATGCATAGATTATTTTGTTTCTGCTGCTTCTTCCAGATCCAGTGGTATATTGGTCCATAAGGGTGGACGGGGCAGAAATGGGGAACAGGGTTCAGACAGTTGTGGGTACAACAGAGACAGCCCTCAGGGAAACAGACAGACTTTGGTGAATCTGCTCATCTTTATTCCAGAGTATAGGAAATATAGGATTGGCGAGCCTGGGGCAAATCCTGATTTGCACTAAGTGACACACTCCTATCATAAGGCTTCATATGTGGCAGCAGGGTCCTAAAACAAAGCTCCTGGCACAAGTCTCAGTTGCCATATGTGCAGCAGGGGAGGTTCTAGCAGGAGACTGTGCCAAAGGTCACCCTAGAGGTAAATCAGACATCCAGGCTTAGAGACAGCTTTCACATAAGGTCAGTCCTATGGACCCAGAGATATTCTCTACATAATGGCAGGTAGAAAGCAAGAAGTCTTGTTGCGAGGAAGGGAGTCCCCATGTCACTGAGCTTTAGAAAAAGCTGCCAGGCCATGATAGACTACAACCTCTGACCAGCAAGGCCTTCCCACTCATTTCCCCACCCCCTTTAAACAAACAATAGCAGTCTGTGCCCATCTTTCTCTGCCCCAGATCACTTTTATAAGACGTTCCTGAAAGTGGAACGCCATCATTTTCGATGGCTTTAGAATGTTCCGTTATATGGCTAGAAATTTACTCTTCATGAAGTTATGAATCCTATTTACAATAAACAGTACTCTATTAAATAACTTAAAGACATATCAACAGATGAGCAGATACAAATTTAGGTAAAGTACTTGATGGAGGGATGTGGATGTGGTGTGTTTTCCAGACAAGGTTCTTTGTAAGTAGCCCAGTCAGAATATTCACAGAAAGGAAAGTCGAAACTATTGCTGAAAGATCCTGAATCAGAATAGCTTTTTGGTATGTGCAATGATTTATGTACAGCATGAGACTACAAATAAAATTAAACAGCTCTGCCCCGCCTTCGTGCACAAATCATTACCGCCGACCACACCTTTAATTGTGGGGATTGTGCAGGGTTGAGCTTGCCTTTGCTTGCCTGTTTTGCAGACTTAAATGCCTACTGAGGGTATAATTTTAAGGCAGTGCTATTTCAAATGGAAATTAAACACAGGTACTGTCAGTGTAACTTGGGCTTTAACTGTCTTATAGCAAATATTTTGACATATTTTTGCAATTTGATAATAAACAGATGCTTTGCTGTTCTCATTGCACCTTGGTGACTGTGTACAAATGCATGTTTTAAAATTCTTAACTGTTTCCTATTAGATAACATACTTTTTAATGAATGCAATGCTTTTAATTCCCTAAATCAAAAAAGTCAGACTTTATTTAAATTGAACCAAAACCAAAGTGATCAAGTATTACAGCCTTGCAGAGGTTTTACTGTGAAGAAAATTAGTAAATCGGTAACTGGGTGTCAAGGCGAGACATTTGTCCATGAGTATTATTTTACTGAGTGAGAGATGAACTAGACAGGCAGGGAAGAATGGACATTTCTTTTACTCTTTGCTCTTCTGCTTTTAGCTTAAAAAGAGAAGTAGCTGTTTTTTGACTTTTCTGTTATTTTCTGTTGCTCTTGTAATCCATAGGGATATCTGTGTTTGCCTTACATGGCATTACAACAGCATCATCTTCTCTCTGATGTCACTGTTCGGGGATTTGTGGCTGGAGCTACTAACATCCTCTTTCGGCAACAGAAGCACCTCAGTGATGCCATTGTGGAAGTACGTTTATGTCTGCGTGTGTACACTTGGCCTGCCAATTCACTTCTTCCTTCCCTAAATGTAACTATGAAGACAGCACTAACAAAGAAAACAGTGCTTGCTCTATCCCAGTAACTTTAATTATATATCTTTGTTTGGGGTTTTTGTTTTGTTTTGAAACAGGATTTCTCTGTGTAGCCTGCCCTGAAACTCAGAGATCTGCCTGCCTCTACCTCCAAATGTTTGGATTAAAGGCATACCTCATTATACCTCTGTAGGGAAAGACTACCTGTAGCTTTAGCCACGCCCTGTGGGCGTGGCTACAGGTATGCGATAGAGAGGGCCCCTGGCTGCGCATGCGCTCGCTCTCGCTCGCTCGCTCTCTCTCTCTCTCTCTCTCTCTCTCTCTCTCTCTCTCTCTCTCTCTCTCTCTCTCTCGCGCGCGCGCGCTCTCTCTCGCGCTCTCTCTCGCGCTCGCGCTCTCGCGCTCGCGCTCTCTCTTTTCCTGGCCACTGTGGGGAGCAGGGGAGGGGGAGAGACTGGAGAGATGGCTCAGAGGTTTAGAGCACTGGACTGATCTTCCAGATGTCCTGAGTTCAACTGTGCTTCTCTGCCTGTATTTTTTTTTTAAATAAAAGTATATAGAAACTTCAGTGTAAAAACCTCCTCCTGCCGGGCATTGGTGGCGCACGCCTTTAATTCCAGCACTTGGGAGGCAGAGGCAGGCGGATCTCTATGAGTTCAAGACTAGCCTGGTCTACAATAGCTAGTTCCAGGACAGCCTCCAAAGCCACAGAGAAACCCTGCCTCGAAAAACCCAAAAAAAGAAAAAAGAAAAAAAAAACTGCCTCCTTCTTAGACTCATCCTTGAGAATACCGTTACTCACATTTTTTTATTTCCCACTCCAGTTTTTACTTTTAAAATGTGGCGTGGATGTCTGTGTGAGTGTCCCAGCTCTGACGTGTACCTGGGTACTCTTCTAGGTAGAAGAAGCACTGATCCAGATCCACGATCCGGAGCTTAGGAAGCTGCTGAACCCAACCACTGCAGACCTAAGGTTCGCAGATTACCTAGTGAGGCATGTGACTGACAACCGCGATGATGTCTTCCTGGATGGCACAGGCTGGGAGGGAGGTGACGAATGGATCCGGGCCCAGTTTGCAGTCTACATCCATGCTCTGTTGGCTGCTACACTGCAGTTAGGTAAGAAGTACACAGCCACGTTTCTTCCTATAAATTGTCACGCTCTGGTGGTTATGGATATGGAGTTGCATAAGAAAGAGGTGTTCATTATAGATAGTCACCCCTTACTCATACAGACATAACAGCTGGCATTTTGAGTACTTTATCCTACCAAACATGTTTCTTTACTTGTGTTTGGACTTTGGTTTTATGGCTTACAGTAGACTTTACAGAAGTGAGTGCATTTAAGCATGTTTTCTGAGCATTACTCTTCTTTATGACAGAGACACCAGCATGTGTTAAGACAACACTTACTGTTCTCACTTCAATGTGGATGTTATTTTGTATCAAAGGAAATGGCAGCATTTCACAATTGTTTATAACTGCTTCATACTTTCAAGTTATCTGAAGAAACATTTTTTTTATTTTTCCCCTCAGTGTATGTTTTTATTTAAATTAGAAACATGAATGCTTCACATGTCAATCCCAGCTCCCTCTCCTCCCTTGCCCCTCTCCAAACCCCACCCAATCCCCATATCATTCCTTAGGGAGGGTGAGGCCCTCCTTGGGGGGAATCTCCAGAGTCTGTCATTTCATCCAGGGCAGGGCATAGGCCCTTCCCCATGTGTCCAGGCTGAGAGAGCATCCCTCCATGTGGAATGGGCTCCCAAAGTTCATTTGTATGCCATGATAAACACTGATCTACTACCCAAGGCCCCAGAGATTTCTGAGGCCTCCTCAGTGACACTACATTCATGGAGTCTGGATCAGTCCCTTGTTGGCCTCTCAGCCATCAGTCTGGGGTTCAAGAGCCCCCCCCCTTGTCTGGTCAGCTGTCTTTGTGGGTTTCACCAGCACGGTCTTGACCCCTTTTCTCATCTCTCCTCCCTCTCTGTCACTGGGTTCCAGGAGTTCAGTTCATTGTTTAACTGTGGGTATCTGCCTCTGCTTCCATCAGTCACTGGATGATGATTGTAGGATGACATATAAGGTAGTCATCAACCTTATCATCAAGGGCTATTAATATAGTCTCTCCACTATTGCTTAGTTTGCTAGTTGGTGTTATCCTTGTAGATCTCTGGAGATCTCACTAGTGTCAGCTCTCTCCTTAAGCCTATAATGACTCAATATATTATGGTGTCTCTCATCCTGCTCTACTCTGTTCTTACCTAGACTCAACGTTCCTGCTCCCCCATGCCTTCTTCTCCCCAACTCTTATCACCCTCTCCCTCTTTTTTTTTTTTTTTTTTTTTTTTTTTTTTTTGTTTTGTTTCTTCCAGACAGGGTTTCTCTGTGTAGCTTTGGAGCCTGTCCTGGCACTCACTCTGTAGACCAGGCTGGCCTTGAACTCACAGAAATCCTCCTGCCTCTGCCTCCCGAGTGCTGGGATTTAAAGCTTGTGTCACCACCGCCCAGCAAGAAACCCTGTCTTAAAAAAAATCTTGTATTCCAAATTTAATTACTAATCTAGAAAGTAGCCAAGATAGCCACCAGGTTTTTGGCCTTATGAATAAACAACTTAAAAAAAGTAATACATGTAAGGTCTGTTCTAATACATGTAAAGTCTGTTCTGAACACTTTATACCTAATATTCTTTTTTTTTCTATGTAGCCCTGACTGTACTGAACTTGCTCTGTAGACTGACTTTGAACTCAGAGATCCACCTGCCTCTGCATCCACAGTGCTGGAATTAAATGCATGCATGCAACACCACTACTCAACTCATTTTATAGCTAATAATTAATTTTTACCTTGACAGTAATCCCAGACATTCCAATTTTACACAAGATAGAATGAGGGGAAAAATGCCATAACTTGCTCATCCATCTGGTTGGGAGGCTTCAGCTGCCAGGTTCAAGTCTACTCCCAGCACAATCAGGAGAGGAGAATAGCTGCAGGAATATCTTGTCAAAGCATACCTTTAACTATAGATGCAAGTGTGTCTCCTAGGCATTTCCTAGTAACAAAAGCTACTTGGATTTCACCTTCAAAGCAAACAACATAGCCAGCCATGGTGGCACACAACCCAGTTACCTCCTGTCTGGGCAGAAGAACGCGGAGACCAGATGGGTCACACTAATTGGAAGCAAACCTGAATACATAGCAAGACCTTGTCTCAAAAACAAAATAGCAAACCTCCATGCCTGTGTGATAAATGTGAGGCAATGGCTTCTTAGATCAGTTCTCCAGACCTTCTCCGTCTCTGCAAGCAAAAAAATGCTCTGCATTGACACATCCCCGTGGTATCAAGAAAGACAGGAGCTATTTAGCATTAATGTGAAAATCCTTTGTTAAGTATTTTTGACAGTACAATGCTTGGATACCCAAGAGTAAATCACCAAATGTGAGACAAAGTCCAAACAAAGGAAACATGGGTAAAGAAGCAGTTTACTTGCTTGTTGTTAACTCTTTTGACATTTGTGAAGAAATTCTAACTGCCCCACTATATCCTTATGCCAGTATGTCTGCTCAATGGCAAGTCTCTAGTTTTTGTAACAGTAAGGAAAACATGAAAACATTTTGGTGTTGTAGAGAGCTTGGAAATGTTTGGCTCAGTCCTCTTATTTTCCAGTTAAGAAAATGAAGTTCTGAGTGATTAAGTGACTTGCCAAAGGCTACAAAGCTTCTTAACAGTATTTTTGGAACTTGACTCAAGTTTGCTGACACCTGTAGGCTGTGTCCCCACACTGTGAGAGTGGGACTTAAAATTATGCTTTCACCCTTTATGGGTATTAATCTTCATGCCCAGCTCAACTTCTTTCAACCATTTACTTGGCAGATAATGAAAAGATGTTATCAGACTATGGAACGACTTTTGTTGCTGCCTGGAAGAATACTCACAACTACAGGGTATGGAACAGCAATAAGCACCCAGCACTTTCAGAGATAAACCCAAAGTAAGTACATCCTCTAGACTGATGGGATGGAAAATGGTTGCTTTTCAAAAAAAGTCTTTTTGTTATTGAGAGAGTCTCACCATGTAGCCTGTGCCTAACCTGGAACTCACTGTGTAGACCAGGCTGGCCTCAAACCTAGAGCCATTTACCTCTGCCTTCGCACTCCTTGGATTAAAGGTGTTTACTACCACTCCGAGCTGAAATACTGTTTTTAATGATACAGGCATTTATTGGCTATTTTCATTGTATTTTGAACTTTATTTCTTAATGAAAAATGGACAAAGTCAATTTTGTATTCAACACTTTGTTATTTGGAGGCTATAGTTTAATGTTTTTAGCTAAAATGGAAATGTGATATAACTGATGCTAGCTAGAAAGGGTAAACATATACATAATACATACATACATACATACATACATACATACACACACACACACACATACATATACACACACACACACTTTACAATGTACAGATTAAACAGTATCAACTGGTAGATACATCTGCATAGGGAGGTAGTTTCAGATCACTTTGGTGGACACATCTGTTATCAAACAAAATGAATAGGTTCAACCCTAACTTTGGTGAGTTTTTTAGTTGTAGCAAAACCTATAATGTCATCTGAATAAATTAAAAAACTTAATACAACATTTTAGTGCTATTCAATGAAGGAACTAAGAGTTCAAAGTAGTCTGCCTTGCTAACTACAAGGTCTATGATCTGAGGCATGTAAAGGGAAACATGTGTGGGCTGGTTTGCCAGGGACACTTGAGGTGGCTCACCTTACAAAGTGGATCACCCTAATTGTCAGCTGCCCAGTATGTGAGCCATCTCCACAATGCATCTGATGCTATTAACCTGAACCAGCTCTACAGATCTTAATGCTAGCACATAGGCTTAGCTAGAATGGGCTTTAAAGGATTATAAATTCTTTAATATGGTACCTATTTAATTGGTACCTAGACAAAATTTATAAAGAAACTAAGGTTATGGGAGTTGAAACCAGACTGGAGTTTAGCTATGCATGGTAGCACATGCTTGAATCCCACACTCAAGAGGCTAAAAATAGGAGAGTTGTAAGTTGGGCTGCATGACAAGACTTGTCTTCAAAAACAAGAAAACAAGGATGACACCAGTGGGGAAATCTCATGGGTCTTCAAACCCAGACCAAGAACTACAGACAGCTAAGGAAAGGCTGAGAACAGAGGAAGCAGAAGATGTCTTCACAGGGAAGAGCCCCCAAATTGTGGTCAGCCCTGAGATCATATACATACAATTAACATTAAGCAGACATGTTTTGTGTGAATGTGTGTATGTGTGCAGTTAAAGAAATAGAGGCCATAAATTTAAGAGAACAAGCCGGGTTACATTGGAAGGGTTGGAAGGAGGAAAGGAAAGAGGGAGAACTATCAGGAAGTACAATTTGAAACTTTCCAATCTAATTATTTTTTTAGCTCCTAGAGAGGAGTCCTCTAAATTACCAAGCATCAGACACATCCCACCCCTGAAATCAAGCCTTTCTGAGAACAGGAAGAAAGAATGATTGGAGATGCTTTTGTGATTTTTCAGTGTTTTGAACTCAGAGCTTTGAACATGTTAGGCAAGTGATATACAGAATGTTTATGTGTTTTGTTAGATTAGTTCTGAAATCTATAAAGGGAAGACCTGTTCTCTATGCTTACTTTGACACACAGCACTTCTGTCATTTGAAAAAACTATAGCATTTTTTAAGTAGCTATGAATTTCACTTTCTTCATAGTGCTGGACAGAGGGACCTGGGTGTAAAATAAGAATTGTTTATTGACCTCTGTCTTCCAGTCTTAACTGCTTAAGTCATGTGTTTGGCTTGCTTTTGGCTTTAATAAACTGTTTTTCCTTAGGTGTGGCAGAAATAAGTAAGAATAATGTATTTGCATACAAAACTACAGTGACATTTTAAGTTCTGCATTTTGAGTTGCTTTTCTAATAAAAACAGTTTTTTGCTGATTCACCAGCAAATCTTTTCATGGCCAATGACACATATTTACAGGGCGACCAGGGTCAAGGTACAGTCATGACTGTGATCTAAGTCAGTTACTCACCTGATTGATTTCCTGGTGTGTTTTTGCTTGGGTCTCACCCCAGATGAAATAAGGGGTGTTGTTAGCACTGTGTTGGGGGTAGTTTTAGTACCTCCATCCCCCCCCACATGTCCACCTCTAACCACGTTCATCCGTTGCACAAGGAAAGAAGACAGAGCTCAAAACTGTTGAGTCACTTCTTCTAGCTCATATTAGGATTGATGCACAGGGCCCCACTGTCTGTTTGAGAGCACTGAGTCCACTCGTGCTCCCCAAAAGGTTCACTCACAGTACCTGTGACTGCTTTTTGCAGCTTTAGTGATGATGTACTCATAATCTAAGCTTAAGCTTTGTTTTGCAGCCATCCTTTTCAGGGCCAGTACTCAGTGTCAGACATGAAACTCAGATTCTCACAGTGAGTACTTACAGAAAGTAAGGGGGAATATTCTGTCTGAGTATATGCCTTGTGTTTCGTTGCCAGTTGGGTATTTTGTTTATCTTCTTGATGGACTTGTGTTTGAAATAGTAACCCAATGACTATAACATTCTGTGATTGAACAACATGTATTTTAAAATGAAAGTACTCTGTCTATATACAATAGTATGAAAAAAATAACAGGATTTATCATTTCTATTTTGATGACATGCTCTCAGCAAACCATGTCTGTCAAGGAGATACATCTTTATGTCCTCACCTCTTAGCTCATTTCTGTGTTCTTTTGGTACATTCCGAAATTTACTCATAATAATTTTGTTTTTTATTTTCCCAATACTAATTTGGAATGATAATAGAGTGGTTTGATTGTGGGTATTATCAAATGTTTGAGATTTTTAAAAAATTGTTTTTTTTTTTCTTAGTTCTGTTCAGAACAGTGAACGTGGCAAAAAAATTGGCAATGTCATGGTAACAACTAGCCGGAATGTGGTACAAACAGGAAAAGCTGTCGGTAAGGCACACCCTCAGCAGGAGCTGCTGTCATGTCATATGTATCCGTTTCTCTTTTCAGTGTGTAGTTCATTAAAATAAAGTTATAGGTTTGTGGATCATGTAATACAAAGGGAATTTTTACATTGTCAGTCTTATCTGGGCGTGGTGGCTCACACCTTTAATCCCAGCACTCGGGAGGCAGAGGCAGGACAGGCTCCAAAGCTACACAGAAAAACCCTATCTGGGGGGGAAGGGGGAATTGTCAGTCTTAAAACTAAGGAAGGCTTTTATGGTTTCCAAGTTGACTGCCAAAAGAGACACTAACACTGTGACTTCACTTTAGACTCATAGGAACTGAAAGGACAAAGGAAGCTTGTGAATAATTTTATGACATAGCTGGACAAATTCCTTGACGACATAAACTAATAAGGAATTTACAATTAGAATAGCTCTGGCTCTGCTGAATAAATTAAAACCTGGTGCAAGATTTCTAACTGTCAGTCCACATCCATGTTGGCTTCACTTTTGGATTCTCTCTTCCTCCTTCCTTTCTCCCTCTCTTCCTTTCTCTTACTCAACCCCTTCTTTTTGTTAAGACAGTCTCACTTGGTAGCCTTTATTAGCCTCAAAATCTGGATCCTCCTGACTCAGCATCCCAGGTGCTGAGGGTACAAGCTTCTCTTTGAATTTCTCTTAGACGTTTTTTGAAAGGGGTAGACAAAACTCAAAGACCTCACTTCTAATAATTTAGAAATAAAGGGACCAGATCCTCACTCAGTTCCCTGCTTTAGTAGCCATGACAGGCTACAGAAAAGACAGGTAGGCCTCTGACACAAGGAAACTCCAGATCCTCTAGCCTCCCGGAGTCTAGGGCCAAAACTGAACACAAAGAAACTCCAGACCCCGCCCCCCCCCAAGCCTCCTAGATGCTTGGTTCCTGGGCACTGTTTGGCCACAAAAGAAACTCCAGGGGGGACCAAAACCTCCCCTGTAATCTCCAAGATATAATTCTGAAAACTATTGGTATCTATGTATAACAGGCCACCTGCAAGTAACAAGACAATGCCATAGAAACTATAGAATATTCCCTCTCAGCACTGACCAATGAAAATAATTGGTACACAGGTATTTCATGCCAAAATATGACTTTGAGAAATTCTCCTGATTGTTCCCAAATGTCAGCCAATCAGAAACCAACCCGTACCTACTGATGTAATCCTGTAACTTTTGTCTTTAAAACCTAGCAGTAGACAGGGAACTTCTCTCCCTCTGGAGGCTGCTGCGACAGCTAGCCAGACAGGGTCCCTGTCACGGGTGAATGAACAATCATTAAGCCTTGCTTTTGCAGTTTAGTGGGTCTGTCTTCCTGGTGGTCTTTGGGGACTTTGCAACTTGGGCACAACAGTTTAAGGAAGAAATAACATAAATTGTATACAAAACCTTTCAGAAAGTAGTGAATGAGGTAATACTTTCCACCTCATTTTATGAGGCCCGTATTAACCAAATACCCAAAGCTAGATAAATCATGGCATGTTACATATATCTTTCTGTGCCTAGCATTTTGTTCACTTAAACATTTTTTAAGATGCCGTGGTGGTGCACGCCTTTAATCCCAGCACTCGGGAGGCAGAGGCAGGCAGATCTCTGTGAATTCGAGGCTGGGCTGGACCGACAGCCTCCAAAACAATACAGAGAAACCCTGTCTCGTAAAAACCAAAAAAAATTTTTTTGAAGATGATATTCCTGTTGAATCTGAATAAATTCTTTATTTCCTCTTTCCCCCTCTCTCCTTTGTTGGTTTTGGTTGGTTGGTGTTTTTGGTTTGGTTTGGTTTTTTTGATGTTTTTGTTTTGAGACAGGGTCTCGCTGTGTAGCTGTGGCTAACTTGTAACTTAAGTATACCACGCTGTCCTTGAACTCAGAGATCTGCCTGCCTCTGCCTTCCAAATACTGGCATTAAAGTGTGCACCACCACACCTAGCCCCTCTTTTCTATATATTTTTTAAAGATTTATTTATTTATTTATTATGTATTCAGTGTTCAGCCTGCATGTATGTATTCCTGCAGGTCAGAAGAGGCACCAGATCTCATTACAGATGGTTGTGAGCCACCATATGGTTGCTGGGAATTGACCTCAGGACCTCTGGAAGAGCAGCCAGTGCTCTTAACCTCTGAGCCATCTCTCCAGCCCCCTTTTCTATATTTTTAACGTGTTATTTTGATCCAGTTTCAAACCTAGAAACCGTAGTAGTTACTTTTTCACCACTTTGACCATACCCAACAGAAACAAGGGAGAAGTTTGCTTTGGCTATGGTTTTAAAAGGTAGAGTTCATCAAGTTGGAAAAGTCGTGATGGAATTCCTAACAGTGTGAGCATGTGGCTATTCCTGTCATCCTAGTGTATCAGGAAGCTGGAATTGGAAACATACAATCTCAAAGCCCCACCCAAGACCTCCCAAAACATTCAAACATACGTGGTGGGGATACTTTATGTTTAACACATAACACAACTATTAGCTAACCCTTATTGACCACAACTCAGAAGCCCCATATGATAATGCCTCATGCTGATCTTGGTAGCTAACATTCCTTACATCTATAGAAAGATGATGAAAGGACTCTATGAACTCATTTTTAAAAAGCACAGAACATATAGCCCTACTATTAGATTCATTTTATTGTCAGAGGAATGGAATTTGATCTAAGTGTGGTGGTTTTCTTATTGTTCTTTTTGCTCTTCTATCCTTCCTCTTCTTCCCAGATTTCTCCTCTTGTTTATTACCTCTGTCTGTCAGCCCCAAATATCCTTCCTCCTGTCACACTATTGACTGTTCAGCTCTTTATTAGACCTCAGGTGTTTTAGACAGGCAAAGTAACACAGCTTCACAGAGTTAAATGCAACATAAAATAATGCAACACATCTTTGCATCATTAAAACAAATATTCCATAGCATAAACAAATATAACACACCTTAAAATAATATTTTGCATTTCCCCCTTTTTGTCTAAATAAAAATGAAAGGTTTTGACTTTAACATAGTAAAACTACATACAACAAAAACAGTTATCAAGTAAGAATTACATTTATAGTTAGCATAGTCAGAGAAATAATGCATTATCTATCCTATCTTAGTGAATCCAAAGTTTTACACTTAGTATATTATCACAACTAAAGAAAACTGCAATTATAACTATCTAGTCTTTAACTCAAAAGACTCCAAAAGAATATATTATTACCTGAATAAACAGGAAGAACATTGCAAGCAACTTCCAAAACTCCAGAAATGACAAAGACATCTGCCTGCCTGGACAGTCACCCAGAGTTTCTCTGCAGCATTGGGGCATCCATCTTCAGCCTACAGGCCTAGAGTATCTGGCAGACTTTTCAGTGAAACAGGAAATTTTAAAAACTGTCCTGCCTTATATTGGCAAAGTTTTACAGTCACTTTCTTCTGTGTCCTGAAGAATATTTGGCAGACCTTTCTGGGAAGCAAGAATTTTGAAGGACTGTCCTGCCTTGTTTTGGCTCAACAGTTTCTCCTGTGTGTCCCTCATGTCCAGTCTGCACAGCACATTGTCATTAGTCAAAGGCAAGAGCTATTTCTTTGCCCAGTGGCTAACCTTGCCACAATGAAAGCAAACTCCAAAGGATTTTCTTCTCAATGTCCATCATTTTCTCTGAAGTAAGTTGGCACTGCCAGGAGCAGATGTGTCTTACTGTCATGAAAAACCTTAGATTAATAAAGCATTGTATATGCTATATTATGTAGGTCTTTGAAGTGTTTGAAAACCATTTGTGTATCTAAAATACATCTCTATATGATCTTGAAAACATACCTAACATATCTACAAAATTGACTGCTATAGATGACAACTACTAACCTATGTTTCTTGATTATCCTAAATAGGTTATAATAGCTTTTAAAAACTATAACTTTACCTTATATTTTTAAATGAACTGCATATGTGTAATACCTTAAACAAAAGAAGAAATATATGTACAATGTAACAAAAATAACTTTAAATTTGTATCAGTATACTATATTCTCCTAAATGATAACAAACATCCATAGCCCACCAAATAACCAAAGACCATCCACACCCCTCAACTCTTGGGAATGTGGGCATTGTTTTCTCCAAACTACTTCCTGGGTGGGGTCCCTAAGAAGATTTGAGATAAGGACCAAGTCCTGGGAATTCCAGCAATAACCTTTGTTGATAAATAACATCTGTCAAGAGTCAGGAGGTTTTCCTTGATCAACTTGATCCATTATTATTCCTGAAGGAATCCACAGCCTTTTATCTCCTGTGGGAACAAAACTCCAAAGCATTTTTTTATTTCCATTTGACAAATATATTTTTTTTACTTCTTTTTATCTTGGTTGGTTCAATTTTGTAGTACTGTAATGAGGACCTCCGAGAATTCCAGCCTCAATGTCCTCTCAGGGTCCAGACTAGGGGCTTACAGCAACCTGGTAAGGCTTCGCTAAAAAAAAAGGTCTGAGAGTGAAGGGAAACAAACAGGCTCACACACATTCCTCAAATTGCTCTTTATTCTTCAAAAGGAGAGAGGGGCCCGCATCCCATAAGGCTTCTGCTTTATATACCCCATACAGATACAATTAGCAATTCTCTGACAATTGCAAAGTGGTGGAGGAAGGGTTAAATGGGATCACTAATAAGGGAGAAAGGGTGTTAGTCATTCTAGAAGACCATAATTGATAAATGTAAAACAAGGAAGAAACACTAGAAGTTTATAGTAATAGCTGTTTTAAAAAAGGAAGAAACACTATGCATTGGGTTTCACTTTTGCTTTCCTGGTAGCTGGAAACAGCATCAGGGTAGCCATGGTGACTAGCATAAACTGAAGAAGGAAAATGGACCCTTAACCCATATTAGCATTTTTGCCAAATGCTAGTGAATCCCCCAGCACTAGATCAGGGAGAGGATATATGAGATCCAGAGGCTGCAGCTGGAGCCAAGCTGTGGGCTGTGTCCAGGCAGTGGCACTGCTGACAC